AGGGCCCTGAGCCAGGGGAGTGCCTCAGGCCAGACCCAGCTGGGTTTGTCACTTCCAGTGGCTGGGCTTGGTTTTGAAACCCCTGATTTCCTCAGTAGGAAGCAAAAAAGAGGCAGAGACAGTAGAGACAGAAGTAGGGGTACAGAGATAGAGAGATGGAGAGAGAGAGAGAGAAAGACTTAACAGATGAACTGCCACAAAGAAAGAAAACAAAAGGAGAGAGACGGACAGATGCAGAGACACACTGGCCCCCTGGCCTGGCCCAACCAGGAGGGCAGGGCACTGGTATCCGTCCCCGTCCCCTTACAGCCACTGCACACTTCAGCCCTAACTTACTACTGGGACAGCTCACCCTCCCTCCCCAAACCCCACCCTTCCCAGTGTGCTTTGCAGACGGTCAAGCACCTTCTATAGGTGAGAAGCCTGCCTCTTCCCCCCAGATGCCCTGGACTGGATTCCCCTTCTCCCTCCTCCCACCCAGCAAACAGATGAAAGAAAGGAGGCCCGGGACCCTTGGTTTATGCAAGTCACTGTGTTCCCGGAAGGGAAATCTTAAGAGTGTGGACATTGCGACAGTTGAGCCACATTATCAGTTTTTGTGGGCAGACTTGGTGGGTTTCGGGCTTATCTTCACTAACAGCCGTTTCTCACACTGAAGGTCTCAGCAACCTTACCCCAAAGTCTCAGGGTTACTAACCTGTCCTCAGAAAGAACACTGATCCAGTGTCTGATAGGCCTGGGTTCAAATCCTAGCTCTGCTGCTTAGGGCCTGTGTGACCCTGGGCCTGTCACCGCACCTCTCTGAACCTCAGTTTCACCCTATGTAAGATGGGGCTCATTGAGTCCTTGCCTTGTCCTGAGAGCATTAAGTGAGGTGACAAAAGTAAAGTGCCCAGCACTAAGTCAGCAGGAGTTAGTTTGCTCCCTGAGAACCCCCCTTGGCTTAAAGAAAACCTGGGTGTAAAGCAGATTGTGAGCTTCTGCAACCTGTTTGTAAACTGGGAGGGTGTCAAGTTTAAAGCTCCCTTCCAGATTCCTTGTACAGCTCTGCCAAGTGGACCAGCCCTGGGTGGGGAGGATGAAATGGAGGCCGAGAGAGGCCCAGGGACCCACCCAAGACCACCCTGCAAGCTGGGCCAACAGTAGAGCTGGGGTCTCCATGGGTTTAAGAATTATCACCTCATTCCTGACCCCCGAGTCTCAAGGGAAATCCTGGGTGGTGGCTTTTTCTTTCTTCTTCCTTGCTTTCTCATTAAGAAATACTCAGTGGGATGTGCAACCAACAGAACAACAAGTGCCGGATGGGCTGCGTTTCCAGGTGCAGATGCAGAGGGCAGACGGGGAGCGTAGCTAATAGTACGGATGTCCTTTTCTCTGCCTGGCTCTCCACCCCAGGGCCAGGCAGGGGCAGAGGGGCTGGGGTCCCTCATTGCCTGAAGTCACTGCAAAAGTGGCTCCAAGTGCCAAGTGGAGCGCGTGCTCAGGCCAGGGAGGGCTGTGGCAAAAATACATCCCAAGGTCCAGCGTGGATAGACAGGGTTCCCTTGCCACTGAAGCGTCACAAGAGCAGCCTGGGAGGTGGATAGCACCATGGTTACGAGCATGGACTCTGAGGTCAGCCTGCCTGGTCCAGATTCCTTGCCTTGGACCAATTCCCCACTTACTGAATCTGTAAAGCAGGGATGGCAGTAGCTGCCCTACAGGGCTGATGATTAAATGAGATACTGGCTAAGACGGCTGCCCACCTGGCCCAGCGTGAATGTGACTAAGCCAGAGCTTGGCCTTGGCTGACACTTTATCAGGCTCTGGGTTGCAGTGGTCATCTGTGTGCTGCAGGAAGAGTGTCCCCTCACCGTGATTCCCTGCCTGGTTCTCTCTGTTCTGCCTCAATTTCTTCATTCCTAGTATTTTTTCCATTACAATCTAACAAATAGACAGGAAATAAGAAGACCTATTTGCTCTGTGCTTTCAGAGAGGTAACAATATCAAAAGATAAGAGTTCTTCACAATTTGATCTATGAATACAATGTGATTCCAGTAAACATTCTAAATGATATTTTTAGACTTTCTAAAACTTATTCTAAAATTTATATTAAGGCATATAGTCCTCAAATAGCTAAGTCATCCTTAATGAAAGAGGACATAGAAAGAAGAACTGACCTGCAGATATAAAGATTTTACAAGGCCATAGTGATAAATTCACCATGGAGTCTGTGCAGGGATAGGCATGAAGACCAGTGGAACAGAACAGAGGGCTCAGTGGCAGACTCGTGTGCACCTGGGGGATTTAATACACGACAAGAGTGACATCACAAAGAAGGGACGAATGGTCTGATGGTGGTATTGGAAAATTAGCTCATTGTATGGGGAAAAATAAAACAAAATCCTTACTTAACCCCTCATACAGAGATGGGCTCCAGGCAGAGTAAAGGTCTAAATGGGATGGCAAAATTATAAAGTTAACATAGGAAGATATTTCTGTGACTTAAGTGCAAGGAAGGATTTCTCAAACAAAAATTCATAAGCACAAAACATCAAACCAAAACCTGATAAATTTAATTACATCAAAATTAAGGTTTTCTGTTTAATGAAGGTCACCATGGGAGATGTTAGAAGACATGTGACAGAATGGGGGGAGGTATTTGCAGCATCTGAAACCAGGGATTAACATCTGGAAGTCCTGCAATCCAAACAAGATACTTCCCCAATAAAGAAAAATGGTCCGAGGCTTTAAAAGACAATTTCAGAGGAGGAAACGCCTAAAACTAACACATTAGCACATGAAGACACATTTAAAATCATTAGTAATCAGAGAGAGGCATGTTAAATTACAGTGAGACCTCATTGTGCCTCTATGAAACTGGCAAACATCAGGAAGGGAGAGAATATCAGCTGCTGGTGGGGTCAAGGGTACCAGGCTCCCCCGTGCATTGTGGGAGGTGGGGAGCATGTAGGTTTCGCTGCCTGGAGAAAAGTGAGGTGCCGCTGCTGAGCCAACCATCCCGCTCCTGGTTATTTACCCCAGAGAAACATTTACTGGTCTAGAAAGGACTCCACCGATGACATGTGTTGCATTACCTGTGGATAATGGAAGTTGATGGCAAAGCAGGGTGTCCACTGCTGGGAGAGTAGAGAGGTAATTATTGTGTGTCCATGGACACACAGCAACTGGGGTGGATCTTAAACACACAGTTCTTAGTGAAAATGTAAGAAATAGAGATATTAATACAATATCATTAACACAAATTAAAAACACCAGGAGTATGCCAAAGAATGCTCATTGGGGGGGGGAGCGCATCAGAACGATGTCTATGTGGGCGGGGAATGGGAGTGGGTAAAGGGGAATAAATCACTTTACAAAGGAAATTAGGTGTTGCATGGGAAAAAAGGGGCAATGAGGCCTATGCTCCATTCCACCAGCCTAACATATCACATTTACCTTTTCCTCCTCCCTTCCTGGCCTCATCCCAGGTGAATTCCCCACAGAGGTAATCCCAGGGTGAAATCCAGGACTGATGTCCACATGCCTTCTCTGGGGATTTCCCTTGGTCTAATTTATCCTTCACACTTTATTTTTCATGACTACGTAATGTTCCAGCCAGAAGAAAAAATTATTCTTTATTATTGAGAATGAGGTGATTCCTACATTTCCATCAATAACAGCAACTATATAACCTTGTCAGGACATCTGCAGTATTTCTCTGGACCCCGCTGCCCACTACAAGGCAGCATTACAAGTTTTGTGGGCCCTTTCCTTTAAAAACAGAACAGAAAAAATTATATTTTGTGACTGCATTGGTACAAAGACAATTATAATCCTGGGTGGATTCATAATTATATATTCATTATCAGTCTATTCATTTTTTCTTTGGAATTTAAAATAAATTAAAATTAAGCATTTTCATGGGCCACTAACCTAATGGATAAGTTTTCTCTGTCCCATGAGTTATATACTAAACCAGCAGTCCAGCCTGGACTAGAACCAAGACTCAGGGAGCCTGGCACTGTCCACTATGACAGGCGGCCATGCCAGGACCCACACTGGTTTCCATATGTTTTGAAGAAGGCCACATTGACCATGCATGGAGCAGAAGCCGTGGTGTCCTGGTAAATGTTTAACAACTACCTGACGAGAGAAAAAGCCCTAGTCTGTAGCATTTGCCAATTTCTGTGGTGTAAATAATCTCATGGCCAATTTTAAGCTATCAATATGACATCGCTGAAGGAAAAAGATTCAGAGTAGCTCACACTTACATAATATTTTCGTTGTAAAGATACAATAGGCATAAATGATCTCAAGAGCTCAGATAATAATGAAATGCAGTAAAATAATTAGGAAGTGATGAGTTTTGAGTATTTATTACCTTTGTTTTTAATATAATCTATTTACTTATATGTTTTTTATAATTTAAATCTTAATAACGCCTGTGTTTGTCAATGGGCTCACAAACATTCCTGAAGTTTAAAAAATCAGCTCTTGCAAGCTGGCACAAGCTGGCTCCAGCCCACCACTGGCTGAGGGACATGCCACAGTGGGTCTTCTGGACCCAGACCTGAGTAGTGTCAAACGACTACATTTCCCAGAAGCCTCCTCGCCCAGGACCGGCCGTCAGCCTTGAAAGATGTTACCACGGAGACGAGCTAACAGATTGTACAGGCTGTCCTCAGAGGGGTGAGATGGGAGCAGGGGTCTGGGGTGGCTGGACCCTGCCTGGCAGCCTGGCAGGGGGAGGGCGTGGGTGCGGGTGGTAAGGGGGCTTCTTCTATCTGGGGGGCTTTCAGCCGCAAACTTTCTGGGGAAGTTTTCAGCGTGCGTGGGGGGAGGGGCGGGGAGGAGGAGGAGGTTCCGGCTGGGGAGGGGATCCAGGGAAGGGCTTGTGGGTGGGGAGAGCCTCTGGGCAGAGTTCAGCGTGTGGGCGGCGGGGGTGGGGGGTGGGGGAGGAGGTTCCGGCTGGGGAGGAGGATCCAGGGAAGGGCTTGTGGATGGGGAAAACCTCTGGGCAGAGTTGGGGAAACTGTAAAGCAGGACTGCCTTCCCCAAACTACGCTGTAGCTGGTGAGGCAGCCTGGTTTAAGGAATAAATAGTGCAGGTTCTGGCCCAGCTCCACCTCTGATGACGGTGTTCTGTGACCTTGGGCTCAGGGCCCATCTTAGTGGCTGTCCCTCTCTGCACACTGACACCTTGGCCTTCTCCCCTTCTGTGTCTTTCCTTACTCACCCTGCCTCCTTCTAGAACTTTTCCATCTCTTTAGGCCCTTAAGTGCATGGGTTTCAGAGCCAGAAATATACAGGTTCAAACCCCAGGTCTGCTACTTGCTCTGTGACCTTAGGCAGAGCACTTAACCTCTCTAGCCCTCGATTTTCTCCTCTGCAAAGTGGGTATTATAATTATATCTGCCTCATAGGGTCTGTAATGGAAAAACTCAGTTCAGTCTCCCACCTTCTGTGTTTCTCCTTTACTAGTCACACAGAACCCTTCACTTTTGACACTTCTGGTCACCAAATGTGTAGGTTTTTCCCCCACCAAGCAATTCCCCATGACATTAGCTGGGTGTCCTACAACTGAGCTCAATTCTGATACTACCTACTTGGAGATAGCGTCAGATCCCCCAGGTTAAGGGCTTAGTCCCACAAGCCTCTTCCCACCCCACTTCAGATGCCAATGGCAAGTAGTCGGTCCCCAGGTTACCCACAACTTCTGTCTGGCTTGGCTACCATTTGGGGGTTCCCATGACTCCCTCCTTGGGTTCTGTTAGTTTGCTAGAGAGGCACACAGAACTCAGGGAAACAATTACATTTACCAGTTTATTAAAGGACATGGTAGAGGATACAAATGGACAGGTAGATGAAGTGATACGCAGGGAGAGGTCTGGGAAGGTCCTGAGAGCGGGAGCTTCTGTCCCTGTGGAGTTGGGATGTGTCATCCTCCCAGGACGTCACCTTCCCAACCTGGAAACTCTCTGAACCCCCTACTATTGGGATTCTATGGAGGCTTCCTCATGTAGGCTTGGTCAATTATTTATTCCATTTCCACTCTTCTCTCCTCTCTGAAGGATGGGGGAGGAGCTGAAAATTCCAAGCTTCTAATCACGGCTTGGTCTTTCTGGTGACATATCCCCATCCAGGAGCCATCCAGGGGCTCACCCAGAGTTGCCGCAATAGGAAAAAAGACGAGTCTGGTGTTCTTATCACTTCGGAAATTACAAGGGGACTGGATCTTTGGTCCACCATAGTGAGGCTGGGCTCTGAAAAGGGCTTCCCTAGGGCACACAAGCACATATGGTATTTCAGTGTGTCCCGCCACATAAAGGTCCCCCACCCTGAGAGCTGACACAGAGCTTGGCCAGGAGAGTGAGGCTGTGTCACTCCCACCTGCCCCTTGTCCAGGTGCCTTAATGGCAGCCCCATTTTTGCCCTCTCTGTGTTCCAAGTTTGGTGATGTTACCTTTTTTTTTCTCTTTCTTACTATTATGAATAATTTTCTTTAAATTTAAACTTACTGGACTTCATAAATATATTTAATAGGAAACTTCATAATACTACAGTTATCCATACAGCATTAACATCACCTGCCAGAAAGAGAAGGTCACTGGCAGAATAAATATACAGAAAACAAAGCAAGGTTAGTAAGTCTGAGCTACCTGCTCCTGCGCTGACAATAGCTCTCAGTCTGTGACCTGCGTTGTCGGATTTAAAGGGCAATTTGCAAATGTCAGAAATGTGTTACAGGTGTGCTAGCACCACGTGGAGACTTTCTCCTTGATGGAAAGGAAGTTTAGGAGGGACTCGCCTCCTCCCTTCGTGATCTAAACCACCTAAAACTTCCGCCCAGGGACACAGGTGATGTTGGTGGCTCCTTCCTTGTCTGAAGTCGGCCACTCAGAGTGCATTTATTCCTCCTACAGAGACCTCATCTCTAGACAGTCGGAGACACAGCAGATGGAGGTCCTGAAGGAGAAAGTGGAGGAGGAAGAGGAGGCCGAGCGGGCCGAGAGGGCCGAGAAAATGATGAGGCCGATGGAGATGCGGAAGGAGGACACCACCAGGACGCAGGAGATGCTCAGAGACCTGGAGAGGAAGCTGTCGGAGATTGAGGTCTCCATCCCGGAGAAGCCCTCGTGAGTGCCCGGGGTGGGGAAGGTGGGGGCTTTGGCCCAGCAGCCCCAGTGAAAGTCAGACCAGGGCCAGGCAGCAGGAGAGCCGGGCAGAATGGTGGTGCCTGGGCTGGGAGGCAGGACCAGGACATAGAAGGAGGTGGTTAGGAGTGAGGGCTGTGCTTTCAGGCTGCCTGGTCCAAGTCCCCACTCTGCCCCTCCCTAGCTGTGTGATCCTGGGCAAGTCACTCAAACTCTCTGTGCCTCATTTCCCTCATCTGTTTAAAAGGGCAGCTGATAAGAATGATACTTCCCTCCTAGGTAGTGGTGAGGATTTAATGAGGACGGGATAGAGCAAAGGCAGCTAAGGTAGATGGAGGGCTCCCTGTGTGCCAGGCCCAGCCTCACGCACACTGATGGCACCCCTCTTACGGACACAGGACTTTTACCAAGGATGCTATTGACACTTCCAAGCTGCCCCTTTCCTACCAAAGCAACACGCCCAAGGAGGAACACCTGCTGCAGGTGGCAGACAACTTCTCCCGCCAGTACAGCCACTTGTGCCCGGACCGCGTGCCCCTCTTCTTGTACCCAGTGAACGAGTGCAACGTGCCTGTAAGACTGGGCAGGGCCAGGGGCTGGAGAGCAGAGGGTGGAGGGAGGTGGGCCAGGCACAGACCTCTCGTGGGTCAAAGCTTATATTTCAGGGGCAGCATATAAACTCAAATGTCCACAGGCCCCAGCAGGCCCGCTGTGAGTCACCCCTGGGGGCCTGTGGTGGCTTGGAGCCTGCACACCCCGCCTAAGGGGCAGCCAGACACGCAGTGCGGTCTCCGGCCCCCGAGGCCAGCCCTGTGCAGGGAAAAGCTGAGAAATAAGACAAAATGGGCCAGGACCCAAGCGCTGGCCTCCTTCCTTCCCGCCCTGTGACCCAGGGCACATCCCTGAGTCTCTCTGGGCCTCAGTTTCCCCACCTGTAGATGGCATGGCAGGGGATGTATCCAAGGGTTGCAAAGCAGCAGCCCATAGGCTGACAGGAACTCACAGACTGTATTATCTGGCCCACCTGGTGATTTTTCACCCTGGTATTAGCTGCCAGCATTTGAAACTCAGCCATTCCCGTCCAGATCCCTAGTCCCCTCTTCTCTGGATCTGGTAACCCCAGGCCTGCATCTGCCCTGCTGCCGTCAGTGGGGTCTGCACCGGGGCTGCCCCTTAGGTGGGGCCTTCCTCAAATTCACAGGGCGACCCCAGAGGCCTGGCCCCCAGCCCCAGGGTGGTCAAGACAGACCCAGCTCTGCTGCTGACTGTGAACCTGAGCAAGTCAGCTCACCTCGCAGAGCCTCGTCTTCCTCACCTGTCAGCGGGACCTGCCTCACAGGGCGGTTGGGGGATCGGGGAGGTGGTGCAGGTCTGGCGGCACCGAGTGGGGCGGCGGTGATCACATCACTGCACCCCGGACAGTACGGGGTTACTCTAGATCTGGGGAGAAGGACCTCGAGGGGTCCCTTCCTCCAACTCCCAAGGCACCGAGGAGGAGCCTGAGGCCAGAGAGCCGCCGCCTCCCCACCCCGAGGCCCCCAGCCTCCTGGGAGCACCATGGTCTCCTCCCGGGTGGAGCGCTCCCCCCAGGACCTGTGGTCTCTCCCTTTGCAGAAGTTCGTGAGCACGACCATCCGGCCCACACTGATGCCCTACCCTGAGCTCTACAACTGGGACACCTGCGCCCAGTTTGTCTCAGACTTCCTGTCCGCGGTGCCCTTGCCCGACCCCCTCAAGCCGGTAAGCACCACCTGGGGCTGCCGTGAGGCCTGAGATGGGAAGCCAGGCGGGTCGGGAGAAGGAGGCTTGGCCAGCCTCAGGACACAGCCCATGAGTCTGTCTGGGCAGAGAGAGCCGCTTGCCTGAGGTCACACAGCCAGCCTGGTCCCCGGGCTCCCACCTCTTGGGCTGCTTTGCCTCTTTCTGCCTTCAGAGTCTTCCTTTCAGGACTTCGGGAGGTGGGGAAGGAGAGGGAGGGGAAGGCCTGCTGCCCATGGTCCAAGGTCACATCTCTGGGCTTCTGACCAGCTCAGTCTCATTAAGAATGGAGGGAGGGAGATGAGGATGCATACATAGTGGAGAACTGAGAAACAGAGAGAAGGATGGAGGTAAAAGGTGAGGGTAACTCTGGATAACCATAAAATGACCAGAGAGCAACAGACCAGAAGCTTCTACATCCCAGACGGTCTTTCACATCAGGAAGTCCATGGCCCCTTGCAATTCTAGGCAAACCTGGATTGCACTTTATGGACACGGGATCTGTGGTTTTCACCCCGTTCTTAGCAGGCTCCCTAACCCGACAAAGGGGAGGAGCCCTGCTGGGGCCCAGCCGGCCCCCTGGCCCCGGCGCCCAGCCCTTGCTGAGCAGGGAGGGCGGGTGGGGGCAACCGGGTGGCGATGCTGACCAGCTGGCTGTGCCCAGCCCTCCTACCTGTACTCCTCGACCATGGTGCTCAAGCACCAGGAGGGCAACTGCTTTGACTTCAGCACGCTGCTCTGCTCCGTGCTGCTCGGCGCCGGCTACGATGCCTACTGCGTCTACGGCTATGGCTCGCAGGACCTGTGCCACATGGACCTGACTCGGGAGGTGTGCCCACTCACCGTGAAGCCCAAGGAGGTACGGCCGGGCTTATGCTGCCCTCAGCATCGCGCAAGACACGCCACCCTTAAAGCCGCCTGTCCCTGCCGCTTCCGCCCCTGCCCCGGCTCCATCACCAGGCAGCCCTTCAGGAGTTGATATTTCAAACCACTGATGGTTTCTCCATCTTTGGCATCTTAATACACACAGCCCATTTCTCCAAACTGGCTGCTCCTCTCCCCTTGTTGTAACTCAGTTTCGGCTACTGTGTTCCCCGCATTTGTGAATGCCGTATGGATGATACCTTAAGCCAGATTCTTCCAAATTTATCCTATGCGTTTGATAAAAATCCATCCAGCCATTTTCACATAAGGAAAATGCAGACAAACAGACAGACGTTTACTTCTTTTTATTTCCCCCTCCCAGATAAAAAGGACCTCTTAACAGTACAAAATTCACCAGCCCTCCAGCAGCTGGCGGTCGCGTTTTTTATCAGTTGACCGAGAGCAGCATAATGACCCGAGGCTGCTGTGAGCACAACACCCTTAAGTGAATTTAACTGTGGGAATCATAAAAGCATCTCTTTGCATTTGGAAAATAGCCATACTACTGGCAGAAAATGCTTTTCATGAACTGGATTGATTCCAGGACTCTGTGGTCAGGGTCAAGACCCAGTGGGTGTCTGCAGCTCAGGGCAGAGGATCCAGGGGCCTGGGGCATCCGGCATGATGCACACGCACCTGTGTTACACCTGTGTGAGCACCTGGGGCCCCCGGGGCTGCAGTCTGGTGGAGAAGGAGGGGGAGGTACCGGGTGAGAGCCCTGCCTGCTCTCTCAGGGCCACCTCCCCAAGAAAGATGGAACAAAAAAGCTCCTTCACTGCTTTTGGCTCCAAAGGCCTGAGAACTCACATACGGGCCTCTTAGCCCAAATTTTAATTATGAAAACGATATCGATAGCTAATGGATGCTGAGAGCGTTCCAGTCTATAAACAACTCACATGCCCATTGACTTGGTTGCTCCTCTCAATAGCGCTGCGTGGTAGGAGTTATCACTTCTCTTTTACATATGAGTGTGTCGAGATGAAACAATTTTTGTGACCAAAGTCACATAGCTGGTAAATGGGGACCTGGGAGCTAAGGCCCAGCCTGTCTGACTCTAAACCACGGAGATTCACTATTTCTTCCTCATAATAGGCCCCCTTATGCAGCCTCTGTGGTGTCCTTTCCTGGACATTTTTCTTGCCACCTAGCACACATTTGTATACATGTGCGCGCTCGTGCGCACACACACACACACACACACGCACGAAGGCTTTGTTCTCTTTCCTAGCCCAGGAAACTCTCACTTCAAGTCAACATATGAAATCCTGCAGTGACAAAATCTGGAAAATCTGACTCCGGGCAATTTGCCCCACTTTCTAGATCAGATCCAGATCGTAGCTAGTCTAGGCCGTGGGGAATGAAGAGCGGAAATCGCATTTCCTGAGCTCCTGCCCGGATGGGCAGCTCAGACGGACATTTTCCTGTCTTTACTTGTCAGAATAACCCTGGGGAAAATGTTCTCATTATTCTCAGTGACTTTTACAGAAGAGCCTGTGGGTAGGGAAGTGGGAGGACTGGCCCGTGGTCACAGGTCTGGAGCTGAGGCTCTTTCTACGTTCAGGGTCAGAAAGCCAGCAGGCTCCGGGAGCAGCTGTGCAGGCAGGCCGCTAAGGGCTGCTGACCCTTTTTCTCTTGTTGGGTGACAGATGGTCAAGGAGGAGGAAAAGGCACCACCTAAGAAGTACGCTGTCAAACCGCCCAGGGACCTGACAAGCAGGTTTGAGCGGGAGCAGGAGGTTAAAAGGCAGGAGGGAGTCAAGGCCGAGGAGGAGAAGCGGCTGAAGCAGGGGGAGCTCCTCGCGGTGGGTCCGCCATCCTCAACCCTCAACCCTTGAACTCAGCTCCAGAAGGAGGGTTGCTGGGAATGGAGAAACAGACACGGATCACGAAGGGATGTGTTTATGGGCCCCCAGGTCCAAATCCCCTCCTCCAACCTTCCACCACCCCCCATCTCTGCCTGGCCTTGTGGGAATCCCCAGTGTAGTCAGCCAGCTTCTGGTGACAGAGTTCTAACATCAGACAGCTCTGCCGCCTGAAGCAACTCATTTTATGCTGTGCAGTTTTGGTGTCCTTGTTCAGACTCTCACTGAAGATTTACCTACATACACTCTACATCCATTCTCCCGTCCTTCCTTCCATCCATCCATCCTCCAATCTCTCCTTCTATCCACCCACACTCGCATCATCCCTCTCACCTATTTTTCCTCCCTCCCTTCTTTCCTTTCCTTCCGTATAGTATTTATTGAGGGTCTACTCTGGTCCGGGCCCTGGGGATGCAATAATGAACATGGCACAGTGACCCTTTGCCCAGAGGGATGCAGACAATGAAGCCACATGGTGTCCCTCTATCTTTCTTTGGATGAAATCTCACCCAGAATCACAACATGGAAAGACAGTAAATCCCAGATACCCTAGAGCTCTAAAAGGTCAAGTTTGTAAACCACAGGTCGAGTCAGATCCTCCCATTTTATTGATAAGAAGATGGGTTCAGAGGTGGGGTGATGTCCTTAAGGCCACAAAGCCAGCCAACAGTGCGGTGTGGATCAGCATTCAGTTCTCTCGCCAGTTCCCCAGCCCCAGGGAGATGTTTGGGCCCCTGATGGCCCCCTTCCCATCCATCTGGCTCATGGTCACCCACCTTTTCCATGCAGGAGCAGGAGAGTGCAAAGACCGACCCCCTGCACGGCCTGCGGGTACACTCCTGGGTCCTGGTGTTGTCGGGGAAGCGCGAGGTGCCCGAGAGCTTTTTCATTGACCCGTTCACTGCACGCAGCTACAGCACCCAAGACGACCACTTCCTGGGAATAGAGAGCCTCTGGAACCACAAGAACTACTGGGTCAACATGCAGGACTGTTGGAACTGCTGCAAGGTGCTGGGCGGGGCCTGGGCGGGTATGGCTGGCACAGTGGGTGAAGGCAGGTGTGACCTGTGGGGAGATCTGGCCACCAGGCCAGGAGGGCTTTGGACTTTCCCTGTAGCTGAGTGCCCAGGGCCCACTCCTTTGCCCATACATAATCGTTTCAATATGATTATTGTCGCTCTTTTGGTTTGTATATTCTTATAAAATGTGGATTGTTAGTTCATCTGATTTTTTTTAAATGTTGTATTGAAGTGCAATACACGTGCAGGAAAGTGCACTCATCCTACACGTCCAGCTCAATGAATTTCCGTACATACATACGTATAAAAAACTCAGTGCCATTTACAGAAGTTGAAAATACGCGTCCAGCTCAATGAATTTCCGTACATACATACGTATAAAAAACTCAGTGCCATTTACAGAAGTTGAAAATACACGTCCAGCTCAATGAATTTCCGTACATACATATGTATAAAAAACTCAGTGCCATTTACAGAAGTTGAAAATACACGTCCAGCTCAATGAATTTCCGTACATACATATGTATAAAAAACTCAGTGCCATTTACAGAAGTTGAAAATACGTGCACACAGTTGGAGGGAGGTTGTAACTGGATACCAGGGGACTTTCTGGGGTTCTGGACAATGTTCTGTTTCTTGATCCGGGGGCAGGGAACCTGGGTGCACCCAATTTATGGAAATTCATTGAGCTGTATGCAAATAAAAAGAGAGACAGGCTCCAGGCACCAAGTCCTGTGCTCTTTTGTTATTTCCAAGGCCCTCCATTTACAACCAGGACAGTTTCCCAAAGGTAGGTCCTGGGCCCCTCGCCCTCTATACTGAAGTGAACATCTCCAAGGGACTGCTGTCGCCCCCGTGTGGGAGGCGGGCAGATTTGATACACGTTCAGATGCACCTGCCTTCAGCAAAGGAGACACAGCCAGCCCCCAGCCTCCCTGAGCCCCTGAGTCCAGGGTGGCTCGGTCCTCAACGACCTCACAGGGTTGTGGAAAATAACATTCGGTAGGTGCTTAGAATAATCCCATGCTGTTCAGTAAAGGTTAGCTAGCGTTACTGTCATTTTAGAGAAAGAACGTCTTCCTCACCACACAGATGGGGCAGAGCCCAGACCACCTCCCCCAGAGCCCAAGCTCATAGCCGCCACGGTGGTCAGAGCCCTCTGAGGGATAACAGCCCTTCGCAGGCCGCTGCAGTCCTCCTTTGGCCTCTCCTGGGTGGAAGTTCCTTCAGCCTCCCCCCAGCACACCCTGTACCAGTGCCAGGTGGAGGAAATTTATATCAGGGATAACAGAAGTTATGAGATGAAGATGGAAGGGTGGCCCGGTGGGAAAGTGAGGCCAGAGGGGCAGTACTGCATCACCAAGTGAGGGCACGAAGAAAGAGACCGTGACACTGGCTGTCACTTTTACTGCCCCATGAGCACAGGAGCGGTTGCTTTGTTCCTTCAAAGAACCTTGATTTTTTTTTCCCTAATTTATTTTTTGGCCATGCCACGTGGCATGTGGGATCTTAGTTCCCCGACCACGGATTGAAACCGCGCCCCCGTCGTTGGAAGCGCAGAGTCTTAATCACTGGACCGCCAGGGAAGTCCCCTTCAAAGAACCCTGAAATGGCCTTGGAGTGAGGCACCACTCAGAGACTGGGATGTCGTAGTTGTCCCTTCGTTTATGCTTTTCCTATAGAGATAGAACTTTAAGATAAAGCAGCAAAACATCTAACTACCGCTTACTACTTACAAAAGTGACAGAATGGGGAATTCCCTGGCTGTCCAGTGGTTGGGACTCCGAGCTTTCATTACTGAGGGCCCGGGTTCAATCCCTGGTCGGGGAACTAAGATCCCACAAGCCCCACGGTGCAGCCAAAAAAAAGTGACAGAATGGAGGACATGATTTTAAGAATTTCAAACGTCTGTGTAATTTGATTCCTCTCCACGAAGCCTGGACTATCGGCTGTTAAATCTACAAGCAGTTCTTTCCCTCACTACCCTCCCCCATCGTGTACCCCTCCCACCTCCCAGCTGAGCCCTCCAGGACTCAGGACAGTGAGGACTATAGCATTAGGGCTGGCGTCAGGGGAGCTTCATGTTGAAACCATTGTGGGCAGCTTCCATCTCGGAGTTGGGAGCGGGGGCACACCACCCCGGGGAGGTAGACGGGGATATGGTGCTTCCCACCTGCTGGGAGTTATTTGGCAGGTGAGCCCAGGCTCAGGTGGGCTGGACTGAAAATAGGTGAAGGACCCACACCAGGGAAGAGAAATTCGCACTTCCCTCTTCTGCGTGCATGTCTAGTTCCTTTCCTGCTGGCAGCGGGTGAGAACGATGAACCTGCCATTTCCCTGCCTGTACAATCTCTCTGGCTTGCGTTTGCTCTAAACACTGCCCGGGTGCCGCTCTCCCCCAACAATGTAGACTGACCTCCACATCCAGGCCATCCCAGGCCAGAGAGTTTCCAAGTCTCTCACAGAGACCAACACAGGAAGGGAGTCCCAGCGCCCCTGGGGCCTCGGTCTCCCTGTGGGGATGAGGAGGGCAGGTGTGGACGCTCAGAGGCGGCCTGGAGCCACATTCTGCCCCCCTGAGACCCAGCCTGGTGCCTTCTCCCCCTGGGCGTGGCTGTTCCCTGCCCCCCATGGAGCAGGAGGGGGCGTGGTGACTGTGGAGGGCTCTCAGCGATCCCCTCCTCCACCAGGACCTGGTCTTTGACCTGGGAGACCCTGTGAGGTGGGAGTACCTGCTCTTGGAGACCGACAAGCCTCTCCTGTCCCTGACTGAGGAGGAGGACGATGGGACGAACGATGACGACGATGCAGAAAATCTGGTGAGCCTCTGAGGGGTGGAGGCCGGGGAGTGGAGGGGACTTGACAACCTGTCTTGCTTCGGGCCAGCCTGACACATGTCCCCGCCACGTGTATGGGTATGGCGTGGGGGGCAGTCCACGTAGACCAATTATAGATTCCTCAAAGCAGAAGGGCCTGGGCCATGCCCTCATTTTACAGTTGGGCAGACTGAGGCCCAGATAGGTCCAGTGACCTGCCCAGGACCCCCCAGTGGTGCAGGGGAGGGCTGGGACTTGCATTCAGGGGTTGCCCTGCGCCTAGCGAACATGCCCCTTGGAGGAGGGCGATAAGACCCTCTCCACAAGCCAGGGGAGCCCCAGGGCCAGCCATTCCTCACATCCAGGCCTTTCCTGCATGGTCACCATGATCCTCCACACACACTTCCAGGCCTTTCTTGTCCATCCAGTCAGCCCTTCTGAAGGTCATTGGCCTTGTCATCTCTGATCTCCTAGTCAGGGGCCGTCAGGCAGGTCTGCATGAGGCCCTGTGCGTGGAAGTCAGGAGTCCAGAGGCCTTCACTATTGGCTCTGACATCTTGGGCAAACTTCCTAAATGTTGGAAGCTTCAGTTTCAGCGTCTGCATGTGAAATGGGGGAGTGGGGTTGGTTACATTCATGGTAGTAATAAGTGACATATTCATTTGCTAGAATTGCCCAAAGTACCACAGACTGGGTGGCTTAAGCAATAGGAATTTATTTTCTCACAGCCCTGGAGACTGGAAGTCAAGGTGTTGGCAGGGTTGGTTTCTCCTTGGCTTGTAGATGGTGCCTTCTCCCTGTGTCCTCAGCCTCTTCCCTCTGTGCGTGTCTGTGTTTTAATCTCCTCTTCTTATAAGGACACCAGTCGTATTGGATTAGGGCCCAACCTAATGACCTTAGTTTAACTTAATTACCTCTTTAAAGATCCTATCTCCAGGGACTTCCCTGGTGGTGCAGTGGTTAAGAATCCACCTGCCAATGCAGGGGACACGGGTTTGAGACCTGGTCCGGGAAGATCCCACATGCCACGGAGCAACTAAGCCTGTGTGCCACAACTGCTGAAGCCCGCGCACCTAGAGCCTGTGTTCCACAACAAGAGAGGCCACTGCAATGAGAAGCCTGTGCACCACAGCGAAGAGTAGCCCCTGCTCGCCGCAACAGCCCGCACGCAGCAATGCTGCCAAAAATAAATGTTTATTTAAAAAAAATAGAAAAAAAAGATCCTATCTCCAAATATAGTCACATTCTGGGGTGCTGGGTGTTAGGACATGTGAATTTTGAGGGTACACAATTCAGCCCATAGGTAACACGCATATGCCCCTTTCTCAGTGCCAGCAGGTGCTTAACTTAAATTAACTTGTCTAAGTCTTCACAACTACCTGGCGAGGTGGGTACTAGTATTATCATGTCCCATTTTACTGATAGGACTACTTACACACAGAGGGGTGAAGTAACGTACCCAAAGTTACACAGGCAGTAAGTGACAGAACTGGGATTTGACAGTCTGGCTCCCAAGGCTGGGTTCTCAAAGGTGGTTCTGTTCTACCTCCTGGGACTGCTTGAGGACGAAGTGAGACCACTGGTGTGATGTGCTTGGCATAGCTGTGTAGACCCACCTGCACATGGTGTTGAGTGTGGCCAGCGTCCTCATGTCTGGAGACCAGAGAGCCTCCTCCCCTGTGCAGTAAATCCTGGGGCACCGGCGCCCCCTGCTGGCCTCAAAATGTGAACAGATTAGCTGAGCAGGCATCAGAGGTCTGAGCAATTTGGTGGGGAGAAAAGTTCTAAATTGAGAAAATCTTATCCAAGTTTCTGTGGTTACCTAATCTGAGGACCATTTGTCTAGACCAGGCCTTATTTGCCAGATGGGGAAACTAGGCTCAAAAAGAAAAAAAATAATAAGGGCAGCCAGGCAGTGTCCCAAACCCTTATGTACATTTATCAGTCAATCCTCCCAAAGGGTTCAGTTTACAGTTAGAAAACTGAGGCTTAGGGGTCCTGGGCAAGTCCCTTAACTGCTTTGAGTCTCAGTTTGTTTGTTTGTTTTTTTAATTTTATTTATTTATTTATTTATTTATGGCTGTGTTGGGTCTTCATTTCTGTGCGAGGGCTTTCTCTAGTTGCGGCAAGTGGGGGCCACTCTTCATCGTGGTGCGCGGGCCTCTCACTATCGTGGCCTCTCTTGTTGCGGAGCACAGGCTCCAGACACACAGGCTCAGTAGTTGTGGCTCACGGGCCCAGTTGCTCCGCGGCATGTGTGATCCTCCCAGACCAGGGCTCGAACCCGCGTCCCCTGCACCGGCAGGCAGACTCTCAACCACTGCGCCACCAGGGAAGCCTGAGCCTCAGTTTTAATGAAGGGCCTGTGGCTTTCCTCGTGCCTCTGTTGACAGAGGGAAGGTGGGGCATGCAGGGCAGGGTGTTGCTGTCCTCGCCGGGCACCAGGTGGGTACAGGGAGGAGCTGACTCCTCCTCTCTCCCCCCTGTCTCGGGTCAAGCCAGGTCAGAACTGCTCGAGACCTCTGGGCTCCCCTGGGGGAGCTGACGAGCCACCCCAGCTTGGCCCTGGGGGATGAGGCAGAGGCTCTGACCGTAACTTCGGGTCCACGGCCCAGCCCTGATCAGAACCACCACCCCACCCCCACTTCTCCCAACAGGGCAAGGAGGATGAGGATAAGAGCTTCGACATGCCGTGCTCGTGGGTGGAGCGGATTGAGATCTCCCCAGAAGGTATTGCACTTTCACTCGTTTCTGGGCTTCTGGGGATGTCTGTGGCAACAGCTAGACAGGGGGATACCAGCAGAGGCTGCCTTGGTCCCTCATTTCCGCCCCCATGGCCTGCTTTCTGCTGCAACCTCTTCATTTCTTCCTTCTCAACATACGCACTCAGCTCTGCAGCCTGGGGCCTGACCCCAGTGTGGCATACAGGACAGGGCTCAGTTAACCCAGCCAGGATGATGGAGTGTGGCCGGTGATGGAGGACCGAGGACCAGGACACAGCTGTTCCCATCCCTCACCCCACTCTGCCAGGAGGAGACTGTGCACAGTACCCAGAGGGCACAGGGGGTCTCAGGACCAAAAAGGGGCAGGCAGGGAAAGCAGGGGGACAGGCACGCTTGTGCCCCATGCCAACCTCTGCTGGCTGCTGAGGTTCCCGTGGGGGAGTGCCTAGACCCATGGGGAGGGCCCAGGCCATCCCAACAGGGTAGGAAGGGCTAAAGAGGGTGTCATGGGAACCCAGGGGGTTGGTGGCTAGGGTGGGGGGCAGAAACGGCTTCTGGGAGGAGAGGTCATGGGAACTAAGTTTTAAGGGATCAGAAGAAGTCAGCCCAGTAAGGGCAGGTGGGGATGGTGTTTCCAGCCAAGGCCTGGCAGCGAGAGTGTGGTGTGGTCAGGCTCAAGCTGAGATCTCCTCCAGGGCAGGAGCCACCCCTGGTGACTCTTCCTGTGCTCCATGGAGCAGGTTTGAGGGCTGGAGGAGCCTTGCAGACAGCACAGTGCACAGAGGCTGACGAGTGGCTGGGGGGCTGGGGGAGCTGGCCCTCCCTTCCCCCAATCTGGGGAGGAAGGACCCTAGCCCACTCTGTGTCTGCAGCGTTCGAGACCCGCTGCCCAAACGGGAAGAAGGTGATACAGTACAAGAGGGCAAGGCTGGAGAAGTGGGCCCCGTACCTCAACAACAACGGCCTTGTGTGCCGCCTCACCACCTACGAGGACTTGGAGTGTAAGGGGGCAGCCCTGGCTGCGGGGAGCAGGAGAGCTGGGTCCCCCAACATGTCACGTGACCTCGGTCATGTCACTGCCCCTCTCTTGGTGTGAGTGTGGGCCCTGCTGGCCTCCGTGTGCTGGGAGCGGTGGGATGGAGGCTGAGGGAGCTAGCCTGGCTGCTTCAAGCACGCATTGGGGCCTACAGGTACCAAGATTTTGGAGATAAAGGAGTGGTTCCAGAACCGGGAGGATATGCTGGAGCTGAAGCACATAAACAAGGTCACGGGCCTGAACATCGACTACTTCAAGCCGGGCCACCCCCAGGCTCTGCGTGGTGCGTAGACCCCACTGCTAGGCCAGCTAGGTGCCCAGGTTGGGGGCCTCACGTGCTCCTTAGAGCAGCCTCCATGCAGCTGGCATGTAGTGGGAGGAACCAGTATCCACGTATTGACAGGGTTCGTGGGCGGCAAGCAACAGAAAGGGTCTCTTCCTCCCTAGGCAAAGCAGACACGTGGGAGGTAAGGGGAAACACAGAAAATCCGAGGAAACGTTGACAGGTTTCTTCCAGGAAAGGCAAAGCAGGGCCGCGGGCACCCAGTGGGGGCCACATTTACAGGGGTTAGGATGCTGAGCAAGAAAACCAACAAGTGTCCCCACAAGACTGACGCAGAGGGCAGAAGTATGGAGGTGCAGACACGGCCACGAGCCCAGGAGGCTGGGAAGGGAGGGAAGAACACGTCTTGGGAATTAACAACCTGATCCAAGAATTCACAAAAGAAAAACATAGGGTCAATATACATCTAAAACCATGACCGTCCTTGCTTGGTGGTTGAAATTTTAAAAAAAGAAAGAAAGAAACTAAATCAATAAGGGACCATCTTACAACCCTTATGTTGGCAAAGATGAAAAAAAATGGTCCTACCAGGTGTGAGCAATTGAATCCCTGTCACTGCTGGTATGACAGCAAACTGGCGCAACTTTTCTGGAGAGCAGTTGGGCAAAACAATCAATAATAGCTTTAAAATATGTAGGCTTTTTGACCAGCAGTTCTACTGCTCAGCAAATAGCAGGCAAGGACAAAAAATGCAAACTGCAGATGTTCATCATGGTGTTGATCATAGCAAAAAATTTGGAAGCAGCCTGAATACCCAGCACTAGGGCACTGGTTACGTACTAACGCTTCTCCCTGGGGCCAGGGGCCAGAGCTCCTAGTGCTCAGCCAGCCCTCTCCGGGCCCCTCCCCCGGCAGTGCACTCATACACGTCCATGCAACCCGAGATGGACCGCGTCATGGAGTTTTATGAAAAGGTCCGCGTGGACGGCCTGATCAAACGGGAGGAGACGCCCAGGACAATGACGGAGTACTACCAAGGGCGGCCCGACCTCCTCTCCTACCGCCATGTCAATTTCGGGCCCCGGATCAAGAAGTTGGCTCTGAACAGTGCAGAGTCAAACCCCCGGCCCGTGGTGGTGAGCACTCGCTGGGACTGGGGACAGGGTGCCCGCCCCCTGTGGTGGGCCAAGATTACCCCTGGAGGGGAACAGCCCTTACTCCCTCCGGGGAAACTTCTTTACTGAGCGACCTTTCCAGTTTTACCAAACACACAGTCTCAGGTCTGACTGATGCCAGACGGTGCCCTCGGCCGCTAGGCCAGGGAGGTATTATTTCCTTACTGTTATAAAAAATACACACGCGTGGGCTTCCCTGGTGGCGCAGTGGTTGAGGGTCCGCCTGCCGATGCAGGGGACACGGGTTCGAGCCCCGGTCTGGGAGGATCCCACATGCCGCGGAGCGGCTGGGCCCGTGAGCCATGGCCGCTGAGCCTGTGCGTCCGGAGCCTGTGCTCCGCAACAGGAGAGGCCGTGGCAGTGAGAGGCCCGCGTACCGCAAAAAAAAAAAAAAACCTACACTCGTGACTAAACATTTAGAAAACATGTAAAAATGTAACAAGTAAAAATATCTCAGAATGCCAACTCAGATATTACCACATATTAATAGGTTTGGTTTTGAGAATCTTTTTTAAGATTTGTGTGTGTGTGTGTGTGTGTGTGTGTGTGTAGGTAGAATTCCTGTATCACCCTCTTAACATTAAAATGTGAGATTTTTTTCTCCATATTACAAATTATTTGCAACCTATGTTTAACGTCTGAATAGCAAAGAAGCTCTTTCTAGCAGAAAGGGATGTCTAGCTATAGAGCAGGCTGCCTGGAAAGGCGGTGAGCTCCCCATCTTGTGGAGGGAGCTAGAGAAGAAATCCAGCACCATCCAGGGCTGGAGTGGCCAGACACCGAGAACCCCTGGGGCCTTGAGAGCCATTGTTTAGCTGGGAGGGGCTGTCCACATGACCCCCCAAATGACCCCAGACCCCAGCATCCCTGAGTGTCCTTTGTTCCTGTCGTCGGGTCAGGCAGGCACAGAAATCCCTTCCCACCTCCCATCCTACGCATGTTCTGGCCTGCCAGAAAATCACAGAGCGATTCTTCCGCAACCCTGCGAAGCCTGCAGATGAAGACGTGGCAGAGCGCGTGTTTCTGATCCTGGATGAGCGCATCCAGCTGCGCTACCACTGCCGCGAGGACCACCTCACGGCCTCCAAGCGTGAGTTCCTGTGGCGCACGGAGGGGGACAGCAAGGGCAACAAGATCATCATGACGCCTGACATGTGTCTCAGCTTTGAGGTGCGCCTGGGGGCCGTGGCGGGCAGGGGCAGGTGGGGGTGGGGTGAGGAGAGAGCCCTGGGGCCCTCTGTCCTGTCCCAGCAACTTGGGAGAACTGGGATAGAAAGTCCTGGTTCCCAGCCTGGAAATTCATCTCTGCCCCTTGGGAACATCAAGAGCTCCCATGTGGGATACTTCTCTTTGAGCGCCTCTGAAAATCTTCCTCTTTTCCACCAAGAAAGACAACCCAGCTGGCCTCCACTACTCATTGTCCCTGCCCCGCAGTCCTGGGCGAGAGCAGATCCTGGGACCAAGGCTGGAGTAGATAATCACCACCTCCACGGGGCTGGTTTTCCTGGTTCAGATTCTCACTCTCCTGGCACATTCCTTAGCCCCTCTGAGTCTCCAGTCCCTCTTTTATTATTAGCTGTGTTTTTATAGATGAAGAAACAGGCCCAGGGAGGGCAATTCCCTGGCAGTCCCAGTGGTTAGGATGCTGCACTTCCACTGCTGGGGGTACAGATTCGATCCCTGGTCGGGGAACTAAGATCCCTCATGCCACGGCACAAGAAAAGAAAAGAAAAGAAAGAAACAGGCCCAGAGAGGTTAAGCAACTTCCTTGAGGTTGCACAGCTAGAAAAATGGCAGGGGAAGATTTGAACCCAGGAGGTCTGGCTCCAGAATCTGCCTACAACCCTAGCCATTGCTGCTTCTCCGTGTCACTGTGGTGGTGGTTCCAGGTGGAGCCCATGGAGCACACCAAGAAGCTTCTCTACCAGTACGAGGCCATGATGAAGCTGAAGAACGAGGAGAAGTTGGCCAGGCATCAGGCTTGGGAGTCAGAGCTGGAGGTCAGGTCCCAAGGGAGAGTGGGCAGATGGGAGGTAGCGGGGTGGGGGTGTGTCTTCACCACGTCCGCCCCCACTTCCCAATTCAGGTGCTGGAGATCCTGAAGCTTCGGGAGGAAGAGGAGGAGGCGCATGCGCTGACCATCTCCATCTACGACACCAAGCGCAACGAGAAGAGCAAGGAGTATCGGGAGGCCATGGTGAGCCTTGCTCCCTGGCCCAGGCCCTGGCTTTCCCTGACCCCTCCCTCAGCCACACTCCCTGGCCTCCAGGGTGCTGAGGATGATCAGGGATTCTTTCGGAGAGCCCTTTATAGGGGATGAAGTTATCGACACCATGGTGGTCGTCCTTGCTGCTGAGCTGACCATTTCCATGCGTCACCCCAAAGAGCACTCAGGATGCAAGCCAAGTCTCCCCCACTTCCAGGGGCTGTGGCCAAGCCAAGACCTCTACTGCACGAGGAAAGAATGAAATTTGTGTGCCCACCTCCACCTGGGGCTCCCCTGGAGGTCGCGACCTGGCCCAGTAGCTCTCACAGCTGACTCTGGCCTCAGGCCTGAGTTATCCGACCCCTGCGCATAGGGCGTTCACGTTACCGCCTCAGGTTGCAAGACCCAGCTTGGTTTTCGAGGCCAGCTTCTAAATCCCCTTCACTAACCAATTGGTTGAGGTTGGCGAGACAGGACAGGGCATCAGATGTCTGGTTCTCAGACTCCCAGGGCTGGGCATCGGCCCCCACATCTCCAACTTCACTGGCCCCTGGCTGCCAACACAGGACATAGATAAGGCCCCAGGGTGGAAGAGAACAAGGGACTCACCAGCAGTTTTTGATTTAACGTCATTAACAAGCACTCTTTATTACCACTTACTGAGCAAGCATCCGCTGAGTGTTGGGTGTTCTGGGGCTCAAGTAGGGACACGTGAATTCACGTAAGACACGAGAGTTGGCTGTTACCAATCGCGGCTACAAGAGACAGCACAGGCCCCTCGGAGGCCTCAAGCACTTCTGGGTTTGAGGCCTGGTTTTGTGCGGTCACATGTTGATGAAGAGGACCCCCCCCCCTCCGGCCCCCTCTCCACAGGAGCGCATGATGCACGAGGAGCACCTGTGGCAGGCGGAGGCCCAGCTGGACTACCTGGCCCCGTTTCTGGCACAGCTCCCACCGGGAGAGAAGCTGACGCGCTGGCAGGCCGTGCGCCTCAAAGATGAGTGCCTCAGTGACTTCAAGCAGCGGCTCATCGACAAGGCCAACCTCATCCAGGCCCGGTTTGAAAAGGTGCTGCCAGGGCCCTGGCAGGGGAGGGGACCTCAGCGTCCTCAACCAGAAAACGGGCCCAGGGCTGTTTGCTCACCATCTCAGACTTGTGAGGGACTAATCGGGGCAGGGGGAGGATGTCAGTGCTTGGGGTGCCCAAATGACCGAGTTGTCCTTCCTCACACTTGTTCATTGGGTGGAAGGGTGGTTGGAGGGAGGGAGGGAGGGAGCAGTGGGTGGATGGATGGAGCCTTATAACAGCTCCTAGTCCTTGACCCATTTCTGTTGGTCAGGTACACACCACACAGTTCCCACGCATTCTCTTAACTTAAGCTTCACAAAGAGCTCTGTGGTGGGGGGGTGGGTTTTGCAGACAACAAATTGGAAGCTCTGAAAATGTACCTTGACCAGAGTCACATGACTCTCAGTCTTGACCCCTGCTCTAACCTCGTGGACATGATATCCCTCTAAACAAGACCCCAGTGGCTCCAGGCCTGTGCTTCTCTGGCTCCTGTCAGTAGGGGTAGCGGGTCTGACCCTTGTAGGGATTTCAGCCTGCAGCCTGGCTAAGAGTCAGTCGTCATCAGCCCTCCTGCTCTCTCTTCCCTGTGCCCACAGGAGACCCAGGAGCTGCAAAAGCAGCAGCAGTGGTATCAGGAGAACCAGGTGACCCTGACGCCCGAGGATGAAGACTTGTACCTGAGTTACTGCTCTCAGGCCATGTTCCGCATCCGCGTCCTGGAGCAGCGGCTCAATCGGTGAGGAGACGGAGGAGCTGAGAGGACCCACTAGGAGCCTTGAGCACTAGCTTTGTAAGTCTTTACCACCTCTCATTCCTCCCGATTTCAGACACAAGGAGCTGGCCCCACTGAAGTACCTGGCTCTGGAGGAAAAGCTCTACAAGGACCCACGCCTGGTGGAGGTATTGAAAGTCTTTGTTTGATGCTTCTCAGTCCCCACACCTGTGGTCCTTTGCCCCTCCTGAGGCCTCAGTGAAGCTGCCAGAGAAAGAAACCTCCCCCAAAGCCTGGCCCACGTGCTCCCTATGCCCAGCTAATGACCATCCACTTGGCACCTGGCCTCGCTGCTGCACCACCTCCCTGCAGCCATCTGTTCCTGCTTCTCCTGATTTTCCTGTAAATAAACACTTGTAATTTGCCGTTTGTACCTCATGGTTGACAGGCCCCAGCACCAGCCTTTTTCTCCTTCCCTTCTTTATCTATGGCCTGGGACCACCTTTACAAGGCTTATTTAATACAGCAATGCCATCCCCATTTCACAGATGGCTAATAAGAAGAGGCGCTGGGATCCAGTCCCTTGCAGTCTAGCGTCAAGACCCCAAGTTCTGGGGCACACACCTTGGGCTTGCCATTCCCACTCTGTGAACTGGGCCACCCTAGCCATGGCGGTGGTGGTGGTGGTAGTGGGTATGCGATGACCCTCATTTTGCAGACAAGAAACTGGAAGCTCTGAAAATACACCTTGTCCAGAGTATGTGTCTGTCTAAGTCTTAACCCCAGCTCTGACCTCATGGGCATGATATCCCTCTAAACATGGTTCCAGTGGCTCCCTCCCAAGACATTTTTGTGACCCCTGCCTCTGTTCCTCTGACTTCCGTCGGTAGCGGCCCCAATTCACGGCGGGTCACGACCCTTCCCTCAGCCCACTCCACCCACGAGTCCCAAACGAAGTCGGCCTTTCTCGGGTTCCAGGTTGGTGGTCCGCCTAAGGGCTCAGCCGACTCATCCATTCATTGAGGCCGAGGCCGTAGGGGCTTCCCTCCAAGGCTCCACGACTGACTCGGACCCGGAATCAGACTCCGTTTCCCTCTACGCCTCCTGTGGGGGATTCAAGCCGGCGTCCGAGCCAGGGAGGGGCGTCAAAGTCTTCAGAGCACGGAAACGCCGCCCACTAGCAAAGGTAAGAAATAGGAATTACCGCAAAGTGCTGACTAAGGCCTCGTCCCCGCTTCGCTCCAATCCAAGATGGAAGGTCCGAGGCGTCACGCTGCTCCCGAGGTCCCGTTCCCATTGGCTATCCTGGAATTGGTTTTCCAATAATGCGGACGCTGATTGGTCAACCCGGGACGGTTGCTAAAGGGATTGGCGCAGCAGCCCTTGGAGGGCGTCTCAAATTTTGAAAATGCAAACTAGGTTCGCGGAAGAGATGGAAAGGGGAGGGCAGGGAAATCTTGAGGCGGAGGCGGGATCAAGGACACGGCAGCTCGCATTGGTTCATTAGAGGCCGAGGGGCGGTGCTTGAACACTCCTTCCTCGTGATTAGTCCAATTCAGGAAAAGGGGGCGGGCACTAAGGAAAAGCGGCAGAAGCGCCTGCTTCTATTGGTCAAGCCCGGAGGGGGTTGGGGCGCTCGCGGCGGCTGATTGGTGCGAGAGGTGAGGAAGGCGAGGCTCTGAGCCGGAGGTTTTGTTGTGAGGGTCGGTTGTCAAGCAGCGGCCAATCAGGCCAGGGGATGGAGGCAAGTGGGGGTCGCGCCTGGAGCGGAGCCTCGGCCTCCAGAGCCGCAGCTGCAGGTGGAGTGGACGCGGGGCCGAGGGGGCAAGGAAGCGGGGGGAGGATGAGCCCGGGGCTGGGCTGAGCCAGCCGGGACCGGGACAGGCAGCGGCGGAGAGGGTTCTGGGCTGAGGGAGGCTGGAGCCTGTGCCTCGTAAGCTGAGAGGAGTGGGAGGATTAGGCGAGGCCGAGGGACCAGCCCCAGCTTCGGGAGGGGTGGGACCGGCACGGAGGCCGGAGGGGAAAAACCAGGGAGGCCGGAGGCAGAGCCGGGGGTCTAGCAGGAGGAGGGGTGATGAATAGGGACACAAGAAGCAAGAGAGTGAATGAATGGGGATACTGTTAGCGCAGAGGAAAGGGGGAGACAAGAGGGTCTGGCGAGGCAGGGGCCAAGTTAGGGAGCCCAGGAGACAGGATGTGCACGCATGGGGGGACACAGGCGGCAGGGAGGAGGAGGAGTGAATGGAGGACTAGAGAGTCAGAACTGGGGAACCCAGGAGAAAGGGGAGGGCGAGGATAGGGTTCGTGGGAGAGAGGCTTGGAGGAAGGGGATAGGAGGCTCCATGAGGTCGCCTTTTAGAGTTGAAGAGTCATACCGACTCACGACCAGACTGGAGGCCTAGTTCCCAGCACTGTCCTTGGGAATTGCAGGGACCCGGTGTAGTTCCCTTGATACGAACTGGACCCCCAGGGCCCTCTTTGAGGCTCTCCCCAGAGAAGACTTCAATGCCTATCTCTAGGGTGCCTCTGATGGGCCCCTAAACTTAGCCTCTGACTCCGCCCCCTTCTCATACGTCAGACAAACAGTGACTCCCAGCAATCTATCTGAACTGCAGACATGTGGTCTTCCCCGCCCCACCGCAGCTGCTGCATTTCAGGCAGCCAGCTTCCTGGAACAGAGCCTCCTTCCATCATCCTGGCCTCTGGGAGGACCTTCTTTTTCCCTGTATTCCGAGTCACCCTGTCTGAGGTACCCCCTCTCCAGATTCTCAAACCCAGTTTGCAGCGCATCTCTTGGCTCTGGTGGCTCTGGTGGGTGTTTGTCTTTATCAAGTGGCCTTGGTCATCCAGGGAGCTGCATCTGCAGGTTTGCAAACCCAGGGACCCCCTGAGCTCCCCCTGAGTGTTTGCTAACAAGCCATCACGTCTGTTTGTGTTCCCGCCCAGTGTTGAGCTGAGATGGCTCGAGCCTGACGTTCCATGACCCAGGATCCCAACAGTCACGCACGGGCTGCTGCTGTGGATGATTTAAAACCACGAGGTGGTCCGGGGCTGGGAGACGAAGCATTCCCTCTGCCTGGATGTGTGGAAACTCCCTGCCAACTTGATTGGCGGATCTGGGGGGGGGGATCCACCCCCACCCCACAAGGAAAGCACTGTCTACTGTGGGTGGAACTTCAGGTGCCAGCCAGCTGAAGGATGGCCACCCCTGTGGTCACCAAGACGGCCTGGAAGCTACGTGAGTGGTTTTCTTTCTCACCCCGTTTACCCTGATAGCTGTTTGTTGCTGGGTGGCCCGAACCCCCAACTGTGTCTCCAGTTCTAGGCACAGGGGGAGACTCCACGCTTTAGAGTAAAGTAGACCAAGATGCAAATCATGCCTTTGGCGTTTTGTAGCTGGGTGACGTTGGCCGGGTGACTTAACCTGTCTGAGGCTTAGTTTCCTGTCTGTGCAAGGAGATAATCACGCCTCCATTCTAGAGTTTCTGTGAGATTCAAGTGAGAAAATGAACATAATGAAGCACTTAGCAGGATTTCCAGTTAGGGTGGCAGGCGGGATGGGGCAAGAAATCCTGAAAGATGTTCTTGGTGTTTTCAGACATCTCACAAGTCAAGCTCCCCCGTCAAATGAGGGCATCTTGGGCTGGGGGCTGGGGTGAGAGGATAGGCAGAGGGATGCTGATAGCCTCTGGAATGTACCTGAGCCCGGGCACCACCCACCCCCACCGTTACTCTATACTGACAGCTCTAAACTCTTTGGTCTTAGGACACCTTTATACTCTTAAAAATGATTGAGGACCCCAAAGAGTTTTTGTTTATGGGAGTCATATCTATCAATATTTACCATGTTAGAAATTAATACTGAGACATTTTAAAACACAAGAACGCAGAAACATGCCGTTAGTGATGATGTCCTCACATGTCATATATCTCCTGGAAAACTCCACCATATTCTTGTGAGCAAATGAGAGTATAAAAGCCAAATTCCATCTTAGTATTATGATAAAAGTAGTTTTGTTCTCTTGGACCCCCAGAAGGATCGTGAGGATCCCAGTGTTCTCCAGATAGTATTTTGAGACCTTTTGCTCTACACGTTGGTGCTTCTGTGGGCTGTACCCCGCCTGTAATAACTGGTTGGCATAGATCTGGTGTGTCCAAACTGGTCACCCTCTGCTATGAGCTGTCCCTGGGCTGTTTTCAGAAGCTGGGGCAAGGTTCCTTCAATTTTTTAACTGTGAGAATCTGGGCAAAACTCTTTGCTGGGCCTCAGCGTCCTCATTTGTAAATGAGAGGTTTGGGCTATTTTCAAATTGTTCCTCAGCCCTAGGGTTCTGGGAGAATCCTGTTATGGGCTCCCAAGGAGGGTATACTTTGGACAGAGTGGCTTTGCATTTATTGGAGTTATGAATGTATACCTTCAACAGCTGTTTTTCCTGAGAAACCAGGAAAGAACCAGGCACTGGGGAGACAGTGGGGGACAGAATAGACAAGGTCCCTATGCAGTGGGGCTCAGAGCCTGGGGAGAGCAACAGGCAGGAATCAGATAATCACACTGACCCATCTCTCCTTGGAACCTAATTCCAAGCTTGAACAGTTAACAGTTGTGCTTTGAATCAGTTAACTAGGTGATGAGGGGTGGGGGTAGGGGAGTGCTGTAGGCTGCCTAAACAGCATGTGCAAAGGCCCTGAGGCAGGAAGCTTGGTGCATTGGAAGGCCTCAGAAGAAGCCATGGGCTGCAGCGCAGCAGTGGGGAGAATGTGGTGTCACATAGGCTGGTGAGGACATGTGTCTACAGGACCCCAGCCCTTCTGAGGTTTTGGCTTTATCTGAAGGGCAAGGCTAAGCCCTAAAGCATTCAAGTGGGAGGTGATGTGATCAGGCATGTTGGGCATCTGCTGACAATTTCATGTGCACAGCAGTTTCCATGGGTATAAACTGTTTGAGAGCCCAAGCCCAAATGACCTCTGGCTCCTTGTGGCTCTAGAGTCTGGGGAGGATCAGAACGTGCTTGGCCAGCATGAGGTCGTTGAAACCTAGTTCTTTGCGTCTTCTGTTTGGGGTGCAGGTGCTCAGTGCCTCTGGCCAGAATGCAGTGTTCCCCCAGCTCTGGCTGGGATGTGGGGTCCAGGTTGTGCCACCTGAGCTTGGGAAACTAGCATGGGCCTGTGCAACAGGGTAGAGCAGCAGCCATCAACCTGGCCTGCTGTGAGGATTTTTGTTTGTTTTTATTTGTTTGTACATTTAAATTCAGCACCCAGGCCTGGACCATTGCTGGATGCTGTCCTTCAGGCCAGAGTGGGAGCTCTTGGGCCAGTGCCCTATGCCGAGACCTATGCCTGGTGCCTGAGGTGTGCCCCCCTTTCCCCACCCCACCCCCTGGTCCCTCCAGGGGCTCCAATCAGCCCCCTGCTCAGGCTGCTTGCAGGGGAGTGGTCTGAGCCCTTCTAGAAGGGCCAACCTTGAAATTCTTCTCACCCTAAAGTCTGTGGTTCTTCAGGCTGGATGCCCTGTTTCAGACACCATCTGATCAGGCTGGAGTGTGAAGACAAGAACCTTATCACTGTCCCTACCCACTGTCTCTTAGCACCCGGCCTAGAGCAGGTACCCAGGAAACATTTATATCATGCATTAATGGCTGTCTCTGGGGGCAGTAGTCCTGAGGTGCAGAGAGGGGTGGCAGTGTGCCCAGGAGGCCCAGTGCAGTGGGGGCCAGCCAGGACTTTGCCTGGGAAGGGTGAGAGCCGGGGTGGGCAGTCAGGCCTCTAGGTGGGTCACACACACAGGGCAGCGCATGTGGGTAGTGTCTTCAGGGAAGGGGAGAGGACCCCAGACTGGGGATCAAAGTGCTCAGGGGGAAGGTGGTTTGCCCTCTAGCTGGGTTGGGCTGTCAGTTTGGCCCAACAGAAGCTCTTGAACATATAAGTGTCTGTGACCAGAGCCCCAGAGCATCCAGGCATCTGTCCCTACAGTGTCCAGAGGACAGAAGGCTCCTTGGCTGAGGTGTGGACCAGAGAGAGGCCCAGCTTCCTCGAATCCAGTGGTGGGGTCCCCAAGGCCCTGGCTCAGGTTTGGGCCTGCTGGGAGCTCTCGCCCTGCTGGGGCTGGCCTAGCCGGGCCTTGAGGTGGGGTGTTGTCTGTGAGGTCGAGCCTGGTGCCCTGGGCAGCTCTGACAGCCCCTGTGAGCCACGCCACCTGGCAAGCATCCCTCCTGGGCCCAGCTTCCCAACCTTCCTGCCATCTGAAGCGGGCACCACAGAGACCCCCAGGCAGGGTGGAGGCCAGAGCAGGTGCCCAGGAGGGGCCTCTGCAGGGCAGCCGCACCGGCCTCTCCCTCAGAGTCACCCACGCCGGCCTCGCAGCTGCCTCAGGGCGTCAGCGCGTTGGGGTTTTCCCTCATCTGTGTGGGGAGACCTGTTTCTTCCCTCTGCGTTCTCAGGAGGAGCTACTCAGGCCCTGGCTCGGAGGCCTGGGCTGCCTCTTGGTTCCTTGCCCACGTTTTGTTCACTGGAGGCCCTGGCAATGTCCTCTGAGACATATGTCTGCTGCCCCCCCCCAGTCCAAGCCAGGGGCCCTCGTGGCCGCCCACAGTGACCTTGCCTCCCGCTCTGTCTGGTCGGCCCTCATACCTAGACCCCTCAGTCGGCTGCGTCCTGCTCCCTCCTCACCCAACCCACCCTCCTGGGCCCCAGTGCCCGCTCTCCATGGCGTCTGGTCCTTGGCCTGCCAAGCAGCCGCGAGCACTCAGCCCCTCGCAGCAGCCCACAGGCATGTCCTCACTGAACCCTCAGTAGCCCAGTGAGCCAAGCACTGTTATTATCCCCATTTACCCAACGAGGAACCCAGCACTCAGAGAGGGTGAGCAACTTATCTAAGGCCACACAGCTTGCAATAGCAGAGCTCAGACCAGAACCCAGTCCATGATTCTGAAGCTGCGGACTGAAGCCCTAGCTAAGCTCACCTGGGGTCAGCTCGTCTGTGGTTGACCTGCACCGTTCTGAAAGTGTGTTCCCCAAAGCAGGAACACCAGGCGGCGGCTGAGACGCTTAGGTAGTTACATGGGTCAATATTTTTTATTTTAATAATTGTTTTCATTTTTCTTTTTGTGTCATAGAAAAAATAGAATGAACATATCAAGCTTAAAATTTCATGCATATTATTACTTAAACGACACAGCTAAATAAAAATAGCAAGTCAGTTTTAAAAATTGAGCATAGTAAGTCAACAGTACCTGTGGCTATACAGAAAAAGGAAAAAAACCATGAGGCCTAAGGGAAGGATGGAAATGACTGAAGTTGAGAAATAGTCATTTCTGTCTCAGGCCCAAACTCTGCCTCGTCCCACGGCTCATGGGGGTGTCTGGGCACCAAAGGGGAGCCACAGGGGGCAGAGCCCTCCTGCTGGGCTTCAGGTGCCAGGGCTGGTGGCCGAGCAGAGCAAGGCCTAGCCCTCCTCCCTGTGGCCCGTCAGGCCCCTGACTGCCTTGTCCCTCTGCTCTTTCCTGTATAGAGGAGATCGTGGCCCATGCCAGCAACGTGTCCTCGCTGGTGCTGGGCAAAGCCTCGGGCCGGCTGCTGGCCACAGGCGGGGATGACTGCCGCGTCAACCTGTGGTCCATCAACAAGCCCAACTGCATCATGGTGAGGCTCGGCCGGCAGGTGGGACTGGGGAGAGGTGGGTGGGCAGGCCAGGGTTGGGGGCTGGGAGCGGCCAGCTTTGCAGGAACCCAGCACATCAGTGCCTTCCCCAGCTGTCTGCTCAGGAAGGCCCAGGACAACCCTGATGGCTGGGACAGTGACCCGTCCTCAGGAATGGGGGTGGGGGGGGAGGTCACCTGGCCATGGGACAGAACCCTGGGGAGCCTGCGTGAGAAGGCTAAAATAATCCCACAGACCCGAATTTGAGCCTCCCCTGCCCACTGGCCTATCCGCTTGCCTGTCAGTTACACGTGCGGCTGTTTTGATTCATTCCCCACCTCATTCCACAAAAAGGATCTGAGCGCCCCTGGTTGGAGCTGATTAGAGGACTGGTTCTTTGACAGTGTTACCAAACTTAGGTCTGGCTGCTCGCAGCCTGGAAGCCAATACTCAAGAGGCAAGTGTTTGTTGAAAGGTAAGGTTGCTTTATTCAGGAGGCCGGCAACTGGGGGGAAGGCAGACATGTATCTAATGGCCAACTCCCCCCCGTTGATTAGAGGGCAGGAACTTGTAAAGGAGAGCTTCAGGGGTGTATAGGTGCTGGGAGGGTGCCGCTGCCGAGCAGCACAGCCGGCTCTGACAGCCATCTTGAAATTGATCAGCAGCATCTTTAGTACCGGGGCCTGTTTGCTCCCATTTCTTTGAGGCCAGTTCGTGGAAGCAGCTTATGTCATGGCTATAGTCTGGTCGTCATGTGGTCAACTTCTTCACCTGGTGGGAGTTTCAGTATCTACAAAAAAGCTCAAAAGATATGGTTCAGATTATTATCCATAGCCCTTGAAGAGGAACTAAAGGTCCTTGACTTTGTGTAATGACTAAGCTATTATTATTTGGTCTTGTTTGACTGCTTTCCTTGCTGCTTCTGCATTTTCCTCACTTCTCTGATTAAATTTATTCTTTGACAGAAGTTTCTCTACAGACAGAAGGCAGGCAGAGGACATGCGGGGAGGTGTGTCTGTCCTAGGAAGGCCCCATAGGGTCCTGCTCCATTTCAGTGGCACTCTCTCCCTGTACACAACTATATTCAACACCAAAAACTGTTTTCCAATACAGGAAAGTGTAAAGGAGGGAAAAAATTACAAAAATGAATCACATATAGTTTGATTATCTAAAGACCATTACACTTGGTATTTTGGTCTGTGCCCTTCTAGGTACGCATGCATGTGTGCGCAGACTTGTGCCTGTATGTACACATGCACACATGCAAACACGCCTACGTGTACACACACGGAAATGTATAACAGTATGTTTCCAGAACACTATCTTACTCTTCTGTAGCCTGTTTTTTTTTAAAAAAATAACAACATCGTCAGCATTTTCCTGTGTCAACAAATACCCTTTTACAATGTGATTTCTAAAAGCTTCGCAGTATTTCATCGTAGGGATGAGCTTGGCCACACTTGGCTCCCAGCGTGGAAGTCATTGCCGGTTTTTTGGCTCTGCTCAGCCGCAGTGGGGAACATCCTCCTGTCCCTAAATCTTTGAGCAGATCTGCGACCTTCGCATTGAATCTGTGGGCGTGGCATGTTTTAAAAAGCTTTCAAAACATATTGCCAAACTGCCCTCTGGAAATCAGTTTACATTCTCACCAGCAGCACAGAAGCCTGCCCTCTCCTGCCACAACCTTGCAGCACAGGGCGGTATCAGTCTTTTGACTCTTGGCCAAGTAAAGATAAAGATAAAAAGCGGCGGGAGGTGATATTTATTTATTTACTTATTTGGTTGCATGGGGTCTTAGCTGCAGCAGTCGGGCTTCGTAGTTGCGACTCACCGGTTCCTTCGTTGCGGCACGCGGGCTCCTTAATTGCAGCTCCTTAGTGGTGGCACGCGGGCTCCTTAGTTGTGGCATGCATGTGGGATCTAGTTCCCCGACCAGGGATCAAACCCCGGCCCCCTGCACTGGGAGTGCGGGAGTGCAGAGTCTTATCCACTGCACCACCAGGGAAATCCTGGGAGGTGATATTTATTAGTAGAAACTTAATCAGCTCAGTGTTCTTGTGAGGTCCAGCGGACAGCTGAGATCTGACCCGAACCATGGCCAAGGTTAAGGACAGAACTAAAAGTGTTTTGCTTCACTTTGCTTTGGGGGTTCAAATGTGTCTCCCCTCTCTGAAATGCCAAAGTAACATACACCAATTGAAAAAGAATCAACAGAGGCTGACAAAAAATGGACATGAAGTGACCCCCATGCTCTCGCCCTCAGAACAGCACAGTGGACAGCGTGGGGTCTGGCCTCTAGACTAAGCCGCTTACACCAGGTGCCTCTCGCAGGCCCCCAGCAGGCCTCATCCCCTCACCCGCCACAGAGCAGGCCTCTCAGTGCCTCAGACTCACCAGGTTCTTTCTCACCTCAGGTGTATACACACGCTACCACCTCTGCAGGCAGTCTTTGCATTTCTGTGTTTTTGACTGTGAGTGAACTTGTATAGCTCCCTGACTCACACATCCCTCCCTGGAGACAACCATGGCTCCCGATGCCTCTGTGTCCTTCCAGGATTGTTTTATACATTTGCAAGCAAATGTGTATGCCTGGTCCCCTTCCCCTTCTTAGTTTGCACAAATGCTATCGAACGACATATACTGTCCTCCACCTTTTCTCACCTAAGAGCGTCATGGAGATTAGTCTTTCTCATATTCAGAGGGTGCCTCATTCATCCTTGTGGCTGAATGCTGTTCCATTGCATGGGTGGCCACAGCTTATCTAACCAGTTTCCTGTGGTGGGCATATATGTTGTTTCCAGTCTCTTGTCAGATTCACGGCAAAGAATGACCTTGGGTCTGTGTTGTTTCACGTGTGTTGCGTGTGTGGGGGGTAAGCCCCAAGGTGGAGTGGCTGGTGTGCAGGGAATGTGCATTTCTAAATGTGAATAGATTTTTGCCTAATCACCCTCCATGTAGTTTCTACCCATTTATACTTCTGCTGGTGATACTGGGGAGTCGGGCAAGCTGCTTGTAACTGTCTGGCTTTTGGGTCGTTCTGCTGAGGAGCAGTTTTCCCCTACTGTCCCCAGTTCCCATGGGAACATGGTCTTAGCAAATGCTGATGGCATCACCACTGTGCATTCGGTGGCCAGTGCTGTACGGGGAGTGACAGACACCACGGATTTCAGATTCCAGCCTCCTCTCCAGAAAGCTGGAAGTGCCAGCACCTCCCACCCCCATCCCTGGGCTCAGCCCTGCCCAGCTCTGGCCTGGTCTGAATTGGGGGGAGCCTCTGTGTCTCCCAGCAGAGTCACTCCCAGGTCCCCTGGGTTCCAGAGCCCCTGCCTGAGAACATGGTTGGGTCCTGCAGAGGGGGCCGCCCCTGGGGATCCGCGCATTCCAGAGGGGCGAGGTGTGTGCCGCTGACAAGCCAGGCCTCAGTTCTGCCGTGGTTTGCCCTCCTGAGGGCTGGGCCGGGCAGAGAGGGGAGATGGGAGCACCGCCCACCTGGGCGATGCTTTGGACTTTGGACTAAAAGGTCAGCTGCCCCCCTCCGAGGGGCCCAGGGCCACTTCTGCAGGTGATGTTCATGTCAGGAGCACAGGGGTGATTGGTGGAGCATGACTGGGGTCTGGCCCACTTTTAGGCCCGGGAGCCGAGAGGCCTGGGGGTGGCTCGGTCTAGCACAGCATCCCTGCTTGATATGCCTCCCAGGGATCCAGATTTTAGGGCCATAGCTGGGGGTCTGTTCACACAGAGTGCTGAAGCTGCCACCCTCTCTTCACAGAGCCTGACGGGTCACACGTCCCCAGTGGAGAGCGTACGTCTCAACACCCCTGAGGAGCTCATTGTGGCCGGTTCCCAGTCAGGCTCCATCCGCGTCTGGGACCTGGAAGCTGCCAAAAGTAGGTGTCCGCACTTGCCTTCCCCACACACACACCTGCAGTCGTGCTTGTCCTCAGCTTTGCTGTCCAGCCGCTTCCTCCAGGAAGGCTGTCCTGACTAGGTTTGGTGCTTTTCTCCTGGGGGCACTGACCAGACAGTGTGGCGACTCCCCACCCCTGTTGACCTGGCAGCGGTGACGTGCATTGCTGTCTGAGTGCTGCCACTGAGGGGGCGTTCTGTAAATGTCTGAATGACGGACAAATGTGTGCATGGGTGGGTGGGTGTCTGTGGATTCAGAACCTGGAATGACATCAAGTGCCACCAGGGACCACGCAGGACTCGTAAATGAGTGAAGGGGCTGTGTGCGGAGAACTGGGGTGTGTGCCCCGCTCCCGGGGGTCCCCACTCAGCTCCAGCTAACTGTTGCCTGCAGGAATGGGGCCTGGGCAGCCAGACTTTCTGTTTCCTTGTGCTTTGTTTGTTTTAATTTAGTTTTCATCTTTATAGAAGTTATGCATAGTCTAAAAAGGCAAATGCTGGTAGTTCACAAATGGTCACAATGGAAAGAGGAAGCCTTGCCTCACTCCAGGGGCCTCAGCCTACTGTCCTTGCGCCTGGTGAGTGCTAATCGCCTCCGCTTTTCCAAGCAATGTGGATATACTGCAGTTTCTTTTCTTTTTAAAAACACTTCATGCATTAGCTGTGCCATCCTCCTACAGAAAAGGAGAATTGAGCTCTCAGTGCTACCCCAGCTCTGTCACTGACAACATTTCCCCCCCATCCTCCCTGAATCACCTTTTAAATACTCAGTGTTTATATTATCAGGACCTATAGATATTATTCAGAGCTGCTTGTATTTCTTTTCTTTTGATAATTTTGTTTTCCTGGAATTAATAGTTGTTCTATCTTTTTTTCATCTGCATGTTTTCTGTGTCTTTGTTACTAATCCAGCCCCAACTTATCTGCCAGAAGAGTAAGCCTCCTCCTTGAGTTTACCCCCAAACCCATCCCATCATTGAGGTGTCTCTTCCCAGAGCCTCTGTCCCCAGGTCCTAGTGGCCTGGGAGCTCCCAGGCCTGCAGCCCAGCTACCATCCTGGGGCCCTTGTCTCCTCCCCGGGGAACTCTCTCCAACTCTGCCACACCGGATCCCACGTTGTCACTTTTCTTGGTTCCCCCACTCTTTTAGGTGCGGCACATTCTTTCATAGCTTACTGTGAAAGGGTACACTGCAAGCACAGTTTTAGAGGCTGAAAATGACTTTATTCTTTTCTTTTTTATAAATTTATTTATTTTATTTTTGGCTGCGTTGGATCTTCCATGCTGCGTGTGGGCTTTCTCTAGTTGCGGCGAGCGAGGGCTACTCTTCGTTGCGGTGCTCAGGCTTCTCCTTGCGGTGGCTTCTCTTGTTGCAGAGCACAGGCTCTAGGCACGTGGACTTCAGTAGCTGTAGTGCGTGGGCTTCAGTAGTTGTGGCATGTGGGCTCAGTAGTTGTGGCTCACGGGCTCTAGAGCGCAGGCTTAGTAGTTGTGACGCACGGGCTTAGTTGCTCCGTGGCATGTGGGATCTTCCTGGACCAGGGCTCGAACCCATGTCCCCTGCATTGGCAGACGAATTCTTAACCACTGAGCCACCAGGGAAGTCCCTGAAAATTACTTTATTCTAAAACCACCCCCCTTTTATTTCTAAGAGTTGGAGTATAGAATTCTAGGTTGGGAATACTTTTCCCTCCGAATTGTGAAGGTGCAGCTCTGTTGCCTTTTAGGTTCCAGGGTTGCTGTGGGGAGGTCAGTGCCGTCTCATCCCAGATCCCTCTCATGGGACCTGCTTCTTTCCTCCTTCTGCCTCTCTCTCTTTACAGGTTTGTAGGATCTTCGTCCCAGTGTCCTCAGGTTTCACAGAATAGGCCTTGGTGGGCCTATCCTCATCCCTATGCTGGATCCTCACTGGGATCTTTTGGTCTATAAACTCATGCCCTCAGTTCTGGGCCAAGTGGGGAGTCCTGCCTTCCCTGGAAGGGGGGCTGCCTCTCAGCCTTGCTGGCTGTTGCTACACAGCAGTCTGGGCACAATGTTGCCAGCTGTACAGATTTTTCAAGTGAAGCTGGGAATCTGGACATTTATGTGGAATCCACCCATTTCTGAAGGTTGACAGCTAATTCAACATATTTTTCAAGGGCTTCCCTGGTGGCACAGTGGTTAAGAATCCGCCTGCCAGTGCAGGGGACACAAGTTCGAGCCCTGGTCTGGGAAGATCCCACATACCGCAGAGCAACTAAGCCCGTGCGCCACAACTACTGAGCCTGCGCTCTAGAGCCTGCGAGCCACAACTACTGAACCCGTGTGCCACAACTACTGAAGCCCGTACGCCACAACTACTGAAGCCCACGCACTAGAGCCCGTGCTACACAACAAGAGAAGCCACTGCAAGGAGAAGCCCATGCACCGCAACAGAGCAGCCCCTGCTCGCCACAACTAGAGAAAGTCCGCATGCAGCAGTGAAGACCCAATGCAGCCAAAAATAAATTAATTAATTAATTTTTAAAAAAAAACCATATTTTTCAGAACACTCTCCAGGCTGACACTCAGAGGTCCAAGTAAAACCTGTTTGCTCCCTGCTTTTTGCCAGCCTCTAGTCTGGACCTTCCAGCATGCCAGGCGGGAGGCCATCCCCTACCTGAAGGACAGGAGAGGAAAAGGTGACATGGATTTTGCCGAGTCTGCCTCTTCCAGAAGAGATGCCCCCCTTGCCTGGCTGAGACTTGAAGGTCATTCCAGGCCTCTACTCTGGTGCTTGCTCTACCTCTGCTGCAGGACGGCGGCCATTGGCCATGCATGCCTGGTGGCCGGGTTCATTCTGCTCTTGTATAGGTGATCCTCAAGAAATGACCTCAACCCGAGCCTCTTGGGTGGTGCTTGCCCACCCAGTGGCGGGCTGTTTAAGAAAGACAGAACCCCGGGACTTCCGTGGTGGTCCGGTGGTTAAGAATCCGCCTTCCAGTGCAGGGGACACGGGATCAATCTCTGGTCGGTCGGGTAACTAAGATCCCACATGCTGTGGGGCAACTAAGCCTGCGTGCCGCAACTTCTGAGCCCGCGCACTCTGGAGCCCACGTGCCACAGCTAGAGAGCCTGCGTGCGGCGACTAAGACCTGATGCAGCCATAAATAAATAAACAGACAGAGCCCCAGGCCCTCTTAGATAATAAACAGGGGCTGAGTGCTTAGCATCTCAGCACATGGTTAAATAAATTTATTTATTTATTTATTTTTTAAAAAGCAGAAGAAGACGACAGGGCCCCAGGCCCTCTTAGATAATGAAGAGGGGCTGCATGCTTCACATCTCAGCATGCGGTCCCACTGCCTGGCCACACACAGGACCCACAGTGCGGGGGCATCGCTGGACAAGGGGCCAGGGAGGAGCAAGCCTGGGCTGGCTGGGCTCCAGCTGAGAAAGCAGAAAGGCTCGGGCAGAAGGCGGTTCATTTCCTGGGAAGCCTCTGCCTGGACCCAGATCCCAGTGGAGGGCACCAGCCATTCACCATTCACTGAGGAGCAAGGGAAAAAGAGAAGCCAAGGGCCGTGATTTCTCAGCCATGACTTTCATGCATAAGGGAATGTGAGGAATTTCTTGAGGTGGGCAAAGAATGGAAACTGAAGACCTCTGGAATTCCTGAGCCCTGGACTCCCAGAGCTGGCTGCTCTACAAGGAGCTTGTTACACAGCCCAGACCCCACTCCCGGAGAGCCTGACTCAGTAGTGGGATGGGCCCAGACTCTGGCTTTCTTAAGCTTCTAGGTGGTTCTGATGCAAAGCCAGGTTGGCACTGTCTCCTTATACGACAGATGGACAAACTGAAGCTCAGGGAGGGCCCTGAACTTGATAAAGACTCTGTGGCTGGGGGTGGCGGAATCTGGGACTCAAATCCTGGTGTCAAGACTCCCATCCCAGTGTTGTCCGCCCTGCCATTTGCGGGGGGTTCAGCAATGGAAGAGAAACTTGCCCATAGCATCCTCGGCAGGAAGAGCTAAGACCTCAGGCCCGCCTCCACCCCCAACCCACCACAGTGTGAATGGAAATGATACAGAGGCAAACTGGCACCCCACATGCAGGAAGTGGTTCTTAAAGGGCTGCCTTACTGTCACATCAGTTGCCCATCACTGGAGGGTTCACCTACTCGGCTGGAAGGGTTTAGAGATTCCCATGTGGGGCAGACAGACCCCGGAGACCCCTCCACTCTGCAGCTCCTGGATCCTGCGACCAAGTCCGGCCTCAGGAGGCCTACCGAGAGCCCTCCTGGGACAGAAGACCAAGGACAGAAATCACGCCGGAAGAATGTGTTCCTGCCTGCTTTCCACAGAGCAGCCAGAGGGCGAGGGTGGCTCAGCTCAGGATCCCACAGGAAGGCATGCTTCGTGAATGTGAACCTGCCACATCCTCTCAGGGCGGGCCGGGATTTTGGAAGCCTGGCTTGTGGGATGCAAAGCAGGTGGGCTGGCGGGGGTGGTGTGGACCGGGCAGCATGTGCCCGAAGTCCCCTTGGCCAGCCAGGCAGTGCTGAGCCCCCGAGACAACCACAGAGAGTGAGGAGGGCAGCTGCTTAGGTTTTGGTGCGGTTGCATCTTGTCCTTAAAGCATTACATCTGGGGTCTGCTTGAACACCGCCTCCAACAGACAGCTCACCACCTCACAAGCCAGCCTGCTTCACCTTGGCGCAAACCTAAGGATGGCTGGACTGCCACACCCCTTGGCACCAGCACTCCTGGGGTGGACGGTTTCATTCAAACAGCGGAATTATAAATCTTATAAAAAGCAAGACACGTGACTCCAGAGAGAAGAGGCAAACTTGAGTGGTACCGGAGAACACGCTGAGACAGAAACGCAAGGTTTGCCTGCAGCCTCCCTCATCTGCCACCCACTAACATCCTGTTCAACGACCACCGCCTCCAAAAAGCCCCCCTGGATTTCTCTTTTCAACCTAGCAGCTTCTCCTCCAGCTTGGACCTCTCCTGCATCTCTCGCCTTGCACTGTCTCGGGTGTGGTGGGATGCCTGGCAGACCATAAGCTCCACGTCCACATCCACAGGGCCTGAGCCAAGTACAGTAGTTACCTGGCTCTGCTGACTCTGGGGCTTCACTCTCATGAGAGCATGCTGGGACAAGCCCAGAGGTGCAAGCTGCGGGGAGCTTGCAGGGAGTTTTCTGAGGGCTCGGGTAATGGCAGAAATGGCTGGCATCTCTTGAGAGGAAAATAGGAAAGTTAGTTGTTAGGGTGGTAGGACTCTGGTTGATTTTTCTCCTTGTTTTGAAAGTGTGTGATACTGTTGTGTTTTTCTGTGCAGTCAGTATGAAAGCACACACACAAACGAACACAACAGCCCTCGCTCCACCAGCCATCCTGTTTGCCTCTCACGCCACTGTCTCTGCTCTCTTCCTTGTTAGTCCTTCGCACACTTATGGGACACAAAGCCAACATCTGCAGCCTGGATTTCCACCCGTATGGCGAGTTTGTGGCCTCGGGCTCCCAGGACACGAACATCAAGGTGAGCCACCACTCTGCACCCTGGCTCTCCCACTGGGCCAAGCAGCGGGACTGGGACAGTGTGTCCCGTCTGGGGTCGGGGGGTGGGCTTCGGCTCTTCGGCGGACATCTTCCCCCTGTGTGGCAGCATCCATGCCCTCCCAGGGCAGCGATGTGGAAGCGTTTGCCAGACATTTCTGCTCGGGATGCCCAGCTTTAGTGAGCGGTTTCCAGACCCCTGTCACTTGGAGGTGTAATGACCTGGAGGTGCCCAGAGCCCCTCTCTGCTCATGGCCACATGTTGCCCTCCGACCCAGGCTCCAGGACTTAGCTTGGCTAGGCCTCCCCAGCCCAGCCCACCTTGGTTGTGACCTGTCCTGACCCTGCCCCCCTCTGCTCCTCTCCTCACAGCTCTGGGACATCAGGAGGAAAGGCTGTGTGTTCCGATACAGGGTAAGCAAGGCACCCTCTGTCCGTCATTCCACAAGCACCTTGCAGGCGCGGAGCATGGGGTGGTGCCCAGACCCTGGCAGGGGCTGGAGGAGACTGTTGTCCAACCTGGGTGAGAACGTGAGAAGCTAGAGTCCAGGTGAGAAACATGCATCTGGAGCAGAGCAGGAGTGCGGTGGGTGGTCCACCTGGACCCCCCGGCTTTCCGTGACTCCCCGCAGAGCTGTGTTTACCAAACTGTGCTCCACGGTTTGCAGGCCGCTAACAGGAGTCATTAAGTGAAGGGGGTTCCTGTTCATATGAGTTTGGAAGGACTGGGTTTAATAATTATTTTGGGGGGTTTCTAGACCCTTTGACATTAAGAGGAGGCATTTAACTCTCCAAAAAGAGACACAAGACACATTGCTTCCCAAACTGTCAGACCACACCGTGTTATTTCCTGGAGCGTCCTGCAGGACTGGGGGTCCGTGACCGCATGTGGAGAAGTGTCCCTCTGTGACATCTCCCACATGTGGCTGTCAGTCCCCTCCTTGCCTGCTCCCAGGAAGCACTGCTTATGGAGGGCAGGGAGGAGTGGGTGGTGGGGAGAGAAGTCCGCTGGGCCCAGGCCCCTCGGGTGCTCACGCTCTGTCCTCCCCTCAGGGGCACAGCCAGGCCGTGCGGTGTCTCCGGTTCAGCCCCGACGGGAAGTGGCTGGCATCGGCCGCAGATGACCACACGGTGAAGGTAGCTCCCGGCCTGACCCGGGCCCAGGGCTGGGGACTGGGGTCTGCTGATCACACTCAGGTTGGGTCCTCACCTCCCTCCTGATCAGGCTCACACATCCCGAGCCTGTCCAGAGTGGGAGGTGGTTCGTGGATAAAGAGCTCGGGCTGGATTGGAGGGCGAGCGGGCAGCTGAGGGCTGGGCTGGCCCTGACCTCCACCCTGGCCCCAGCTCTGGGATCTGACTGCTGGCAAGATGATGGCCGAGTTCCCCGGCCACACGGGGCCTGTCAACGTGGTGGAGTTTCACCCCAACGAGTACCTCCTGGCTTCTGGCAGCTCTGACAGGTGAGGAGGGGCAGGGCTCGTCGCCCGTGACTGCTGTCCCTCACGTCCCTGGCCTCTGGCATATGTCTGTCCCCAGTCTGGTTTTGTGTCCCAGGGTGTCATATGATCCCAGGTAGGCTGAATTAACTGTCAGCCAAGCTGGGATGGGACCCGGGTCACATCTCTCTCCCAACTCTGGCCCCAGTGTCCTGGGACTTCATGGTATGTCTGGATCCGGCCCCAGTGTCCTGGGACTTGATTGCGTGTCTGGATCCAAGGCCCATATTCACCTCCCAGGTGCCGAGTCCCCTCCCGCTGCCTGTGCAGGGCCAGCCTATGGCCCCAGGCATTGCTCTGAATGGCCGTGACCTGGGGCGGCAGGTGTCTGGAGAGAAGTGGGCTCCCCCGGCCACTGGCCTGTGTGGAGGCCAACACGTGGCACTGGCTTCCCAGCACAGCCTGGCTTCCTTTGCAGGACCATCCGTTTCTGGGATCTGGAGAAATTCCAGGTGGTGAGCTGTATCGAAGGGGAGCCAGGGCCTGTCAGGTAGGTGGGCGGCTGGGCAGTGGGCCAGGGCCCTCCTCCCGGGCAGTGGGGTGTGGCTGCAGGTGGACCTTTCCCATCTCCGCTTCCGCTCCCTCCCGTCCTGGGCTCCCCGCAGCCTCTCCGGTGTCTCCTGACCCACGGCCCACTCTCGCCTGGCCCAGGAGCGTCCTCTTCAACCCCGATGGCTGCTGCCTGTATAGTGGCTGCCAGGACTCACTGCGCGTCTACGGCTGGGAGCCCGAGCGCTGCTTTGACGTGGTCCTTGTCAACTGGGGCAAGGTGGCCGACCTGGCCATCTGCAATGACCAGCTGGTGAGAGAGCCACCGCCCACCGTGCACCCTTCCGCTGGGCCGCTCGCCTGCCTCCCCCTCAGGCCCCCAACTCCCACCCAGCCCCGGGGGGTCCTGCCCACCCCCCACCCCGTCCCCCGTCCCCCAGCACCACCGCGAAGGGTCCCGCCCCAGCTCTGCCGCTTCCCGCAGATAGGCGTGGCCTTCTCCCAGAGCAGCGTCTCCTCTTACGTGGTGGACCTGACGCGGGTCACCAGGACGGGCACGGTAGCCCCGGACCCCATGCAGGACAGCCAGCCCCCGGCACAGCAGCCGCCAAACCCCAGCGCCCCGCTTCGGCGCATCTACGAGCGGCCCAGCGCCACCGGCAGTGAGCCTCAGAGGTGAGGTGCTCGGGGCCCCGGAGGGCGCTGGGGGGCGCAGGAGGCGGGCCCACAGCCCCTGCCTCACTGGGGCCCCCGCCTCCTTTCTGCCTGGCCTGCTCCCCAGGGTGAAGCAGAACTCAGAGAGCGAGCGCCGCAGCCCCAGCAGCGAGGATGACCGGGATGAGCGGGAGTCTCGGGCGGAGATCCAGAACGCCGAGGACTACAACGAGATCTTCCAGCCCAAGAACAGCATCAGTGAGGCCTGGGCCCTCCCCTCCGAGCCCCAGTGTTCCCCTCTGTGAAAGGGAGGCAGATGGTCCTTTCTGGGGATGGCGTCCATGTTGCTGCACTCCCTTAGCTTAATTCCTAACCCATGTCTGGGCCCGGGCTCTGTTCCCAGGTCCTCTAGGCCCCAGCAGAGGCCCAGCAGCCGCTCAGTGCTCGGCCTGCCCCAAGCAAAGGAAGGCCCAGTGGGGCAAGGGGCCGGGAAGCGGCAAGCCTGAGGGTTCAGGGCCCGGGAACGGGTCAGTCTGCAGCTGTGCGCGCGCCTGGGAACCACCTTGCATCTGCCGCATCCTGACGGGCCCAGGGTCCCCGGCTGGCCGGGCCCTGAGGGCTCAGACAGCAGTCCTGGGCTGACCCACATGAGTCCCCAACCCCCTCTACCTCCGCAGGTCGGACGCCACCCCGAAGAAGTGAGCCCTTCCCAGCACCCCCGGAGGATGGTGAGTCGGGGGGCAGAGCCTGGCCTCCCAGGGTCCCCAGCTCCCTAGTCCTCGCCTTCCACAGCACAGTTTCCAGCCTCTCTCCCACTGGATCTTTTCCCTCCACTCGCCCCAAAGCACCTGCTGTGTGCCAGGCCCTGTGCCAGGCCCTGGTGATTGAGCGTGAAAAGGCAGGCAGGTGCCCCCGTCAGGAGCCCACACCCAGTGAGGAAGGTGAACGGTAGGCAGCCACAGGGTAGGAAGGAGCCGGGAGTGGTGAGAGGCTCTGGGGCCCGTGTAGATGGGGGGCCGTGAGGCTCTGAGGAGGCGGCACATCAGGCAGGCCTGGGGGCCAGGTGAGGAGACAAGGAGGGAAGAGCCTCAGGTGGGAGAGAGCCGAGAGGACAGCGGGGGCTTGGGGTCCGGGAGCAGGAGGCCAGGCCCTGCAGGCCCTGGGTTGGGGGCTTGGGGTTTTGCTGCTGGAGGGTTTAAGAAGGGAGAAAACCTGATCTGCTCACTTACGATTGGAGAAGGTGGCAGGGCGGGGCACCCTCATCCTCCAGCCCATCCCTCCCTCCCCTGCTTTCTCCTCAAGGGGCCATCTTCTCGTGCCCCTCGGGCTGGGTTCCTGAAGGGCCTCTCTCTCTCCCGCGCTCCCACTCACCATCCACTATCCACTCACCGCCCCCCTCCCAAAAACACTCCTTTCCTAGTGAGGCGACAGGAGCACCACTCCCTGGAGCTCCCTGGGTCCTGTCCACACATAGTGCTTGGCGCCTGCTTTCTACCAGCCCTGTGGCTGAGTGGGTGGTAAGGGAGGGGACAGGCCCATCTCCGGCCCCCAGGCCTCCCGTTAGAGGTGCCACCCACGGCCCCAGCCCAAGCCCTGCCTTCTGCCCGCCCGTCCCTTCTCCTGGCCTGACCTGACCCACTGATCTTTTCCTTCCGCCTCCAGACATGGCCACAGCCAAGGAGGCAGCAAAGCCCAGCCCAGCCATGGACGTGCAGTTCCCGGTGCCAAAAGTATGTCCAGGTGGAGCGGGCAAGGTGTGGGGATCAGAGAGGGGCCGGAGTCCTGAATCGGCGCTGGGGCGGCCCTTGCCGGGGAGGGGGGCTGAGAGGGAGGGAGGGAGAAGAGGCCTTGGGCTGGCCACCTGCTGAGCCCCAGACCCCTCCAGCTCGAGGTCCTGTCCCGGCCCCCAGTCGTCACTTCCACCCCTGCACCCAAGGCTGAGTCTGCCATCATCCCTGCCACCCGGAACGAGCCCATCGGACTGAAGGCCTCTGACTTCCTGCCTGTGAGTGGGGGGCCCAGGCTGAGGGCGGGTGGAGGCCCGTGGGGTGAGGGCAGAACTTGGCTGCCAGCATCAGGGCACCCGTCCCATGCAGGCCGTGAAGATCCCCCAGCAGGCGGAGCTGGTCGATGAGGATGCTATGTCACAGATCCGCAAAGGCCATGACACCATGTGTGTCGTGCTCACCAGCCGCCACAAGAACCTGGACACCGTGCGGGCCGTGTGGACCACGGGTGACATCAAGGCAAGTGCCACCTCTGCCCGGGTTTGGGGTTGAGAAGAGGGCCGCTCGAGGGGCACAGGGGGAGCTAGGCGGCCCGTCACCACGCCGAGCAGTCTTATGAACAGCCCGCAGTAAATCCCATCATCACGCCACACCCAGGCAGGGCCACTCAGTCCCCGGTCCCCTCTGACGGGTGCTCTGTTTCCACAGACGTCGGTGGACTCGGCCGTGGCCATCAATGACCTGTCCGTGGTCGTGGACCTCCTTAACATTGTCAACCAGAAAGCGTAAGTGGCTGTGGCGGGGGGGGGGGGGGGTGGGGTGGGAGAAGTGGGCAGGGCCGGGCACTGAGGGCACGTGTCCCTGGCCCTCTCCCCAGCTCCCTGTGGAAGCTGGACCTATGCACCACCGTCCTGCCACAGATCGAGAAGCTTCTGCAGAGCAAGTATGAGAGGTACGGGTGGGGAAGCCACACCTGCCTCCCAGCAGGGAGGGACCATGGGGAAGACCCCCAGGGCCGGTGGCCGTGCAGCATTGCTGGGCCCTCCAAATTTGAGAGGACAGAGTGAAAACGAGCCCATGCTGCCTCTCTGATCTTGTTTCTGCCCCCTTTGTCTCTGTGTACCTTGCTCTCTGTCTATTTGTGACTCCATCTATCCCCCTGCCTCTGAAGCTATGTCCAGACGGGCTGCACCTCTCTGAAGCTGATCCTGCAGCGGTTTCTGCCCCTGATCACAGACATGCTGGCGGCCCCGCCCACCGTGGGTGTGGACATCAGCCGGGAGGAGAGGTGAGGAGCCAGCGGCGTGTGTGGCAGGGGTGCCACGTCAATCGAGAGCACAGGCCTGGGGGCCCAGCCTGCTTGTTGGTGGCCCTGCTGAAACAGCTTATAGAGGTCATTGTGCCTGAGACGGTGGCTCAGGGCACGGGGTAGGGTTGCCAGAGCCTTGGTTCCCCCAGGGCCTGGCTCTGCCCTGGCCCTGCCCTGGCCCAGCCTCAGTGGGTCCTGCACTCCGGGCCTCAGCCTTCCTCCGGGAGGAGGGCCGGAGCGATTCGTACAGGAAAGGCTCTGGGATCGGGTGGGGGTAACGGTGACCGTGCCAGCCAGCCACCTTAAGCGTGGCCCCTCTGCCCGCAGGCTGCACAAGTGCCGGGTCTGCTACAAGCAGCTCAGGAGCATCAGTGGCCTCGTCAAGAGCAAGTCGGGCTTGAGCGGCCGCCACGGCAGTGCCTTCCGCGAGCTGCACCTGCTCATGGCCAGTTTGGACTGAGGAGCCCAGAGGGTGGTGGCACCCTCAGGCCTGGCCTCGGCCCCCCACTCCTGTTCCCTGTGCGCTCACCAGCCCATGAGCCTCTGCCCCGGCCCCCACTGCTGCCCTGCGGTCATCCTAGAGGCGGTGGCGCTGGCCCATTGGCCACCTCCGCAGCCCTAAACTCTGACAACTTCTCTCCAGCAACAGCTGCCCAGCTTTGTCCGACTCCTGCTTCCTGGGGCAGCGAACCGAGCCCTGGGGCTGCTGCTGTAATTTATAAAGTGAATTTTATTAAATTTGTAACTATTCCCTGCTTTCCTTGCTGGGAGGTGCAGCCTCTGGCCACAAGGCTCTCCTGGGCCCCATATTGCCTGCGTGGCTCTTCAGAGATGAGACCACTCCTCCAAGACCCAGAGGCGGTGCACCAGGCAGCCTGGCCAGCAGGGGGCAGCAGAGCGATGGGCCGGCGGGAAGGGGTAAGTTCAGACTTGTTCTGGGGAGAAGAGGGACCCAGCAACTCCCCCTTTCACGGCTAGGAGAAACAGGTGAGGAGTGGGCTTATCACCTCATCCCCTCTGTCTCAGCCACACTCCCACTGTCCCGTGGATGCCTCCAGGGCCAGCAGGTGTACACTGCAGGGGGCCAGGACCCCAGCCTTGCAGGCATGGCCACCACTAGGCTGACCCAGGGCCCACCACCCTCCCCCATCCCTCCAGGAGGCCTCCAGGGACAGGACCGGAAGGGCAGCTGCCCCATCCTCCAAACAGCTTTCACTCCCTGCAGGAGCCCCCAGTGCTGGCTGGCCGGAACCGCTCCCCTGACCCAGTGGTCGTCCCTTACGCTCCTGAGGCAGGTTCCACCCCAGTTTGGTGGGAGGGCCTCACTGAGCCCTGCCCATGTTTTCCCAAGGTTGGGACCGGGTGCAGGCCAGCACAACCCCCGTGGTGGGGAGCAGCGGGGGTGGCGCTGCCCTGGTGGGTGGGGTGCTGTCGGCAGAGGGAGGAAGGGGTGCAGCACTTACCTGTGGCCAGTTCACTTAAGGGGGCAAGGCCAGGGCAGGCGGTGGAGTGGGGCCCACTCCGGCTGGGTTTTTGGCAAGCCTTTGGAGAGCTTGAGTTTCCCATCTATAAGATGGAGGTGACAGCACTGTTGGATGGGTCACAGTCATGATAAGGGTGGGGGGAGGTGGCCCCTCCTAGTCAGGAATGTTCAGAAAAACATGATCCTGACTTGGTGACCAGCCAGCAGTGGGGAGCCAATGGCACGTGCCAGTGCCCTGCTTGCCCCCTGCGACCTGGCCAGGGGTTCACGAGACCAACTCTTCCAGACAATGCTTGTGTAAAAAGGTTATTTTAATAAGTAAAAATGGCTAAGCTTCCAAAAGTTCTTAAATAGGATTTCAGAGGGAGGAAAATGTCAAGAGGCCAGTGGGCAAGGCGATAGCCTGGTGCCAGGCACATGAGGGGGAGCAGCAAGATCCCCACCCACTGGCCTCCTGCCGGCCATAAATACAGCCCGGCCCGCGGCGGCAAGGGCCGTGCTCCTGTGTACACCTAGGAACACTATATACACGCCCAGTGAGACACTCTCCTCCCTGGGAGCCAGGGAAGAGTGGGGCAGGGCTGCCCACCAACCGCCCAGTTCCCACTGTTCCTGTGCCTTCTGGAAGCTCCTCAGCCCACCCACTAGGGAGGGGCCCTGCAGGCTGGGGAGGGCTGGGCCAGCCCATGCCACCTGCGCCCAGAGCCACAGCCGAGACACCATTTCCTTCTGAGCGTGTTTCTTATCTCTGAGGGGAGACGGGCGAACGAGGAGCCTCCACTCTGGCCTCTGCCTTGCGGGCTCCAGGCGCTGCAGCAGGAACAGGCCAGGCAGGCGTCAGGACCCGGTCCCTCGTCTGGCAGAGTGGGCATGTCCATCACACAGGCAACGGCCTCGACTTCCCTGCAGGAGGGGGAGGGTTCGTCAGCACCAGGATTGTCAGCCTCTGTCCCAGAGCAGGAGGGAGCTGCAGAAGCACCCAGGCAGCAGGCAGCAGACCCCAGACCCCGCCCTGAGCAGCCAGCTTCCCGGCACAGCCCTGCAACCCGAGGCGGCCAGGCGGCTGGGCGGGCAGCCCTGGGCTGCGGGCCCGACACTCACCTGGAGACTTTGCAGCCCCAGCCGTCAGGCTGAAATCAAAGCAACAGGTATCTCACCGGTGGGCCCGCCTTGGGCCAGAACCCCCCGGGACCCTGCTGCCCCCCTCTCCCTTTAGACTCAAACACTCACCAGGCCCTTCTGTGAGTGGGCCAAGCTGGAGGCTGGAGCCCCGTATTCTAGTCCTGTGGCCTGGCTCACTCCTCATCTGGGACAGGTGAGCCTTGTCCTTTCTACCCTCCGGGAGCCAAGGCCTGCCTTGGACGGTGTATCGTGCTTGAGCCCAACCAGCCCAGCCTCAGAGGATCAGAGGATTGTGTCCTGGGCCTCATGTCAGCAGCCCTGCTGGGAGCCCGGAGGGCTGGACCCAGCACTATGTACCCTGGCTACTTCCCAGGGCCAGGGAAGGTTGTGAAACAGGTTCTGGAGGAGTTTTATAAACTTAAAAAAAAAGGAAAGAAAAGAAAAAGCCCATTCAGAGAAGGGCAGCCTGGCCCACTCCCTAAAGACTCACCCGAGGGCTGCAGCTTCCTCCTGATGGACCCTGGGCGGCTAGTGGTCCCAGAGCCAGGGGCCGAGTGGGCTCGTGCTGAGGGCTGTGGCGTCTGGCAAGCTGGCTCCCACTGTGGGCAGAGAAGGGCAGGTGGGCGGGGCCTGCTGCCCTGGGTCTGCCCCTACCCCACACGTTTCCCCTCCCCAGCCACCTGAAACCGTTCCCTCATCTGCAAGATGGACATGATGATGGCACAATAACCATGGGGGGTGAGGGGGTGAGACAGCATCCGTAAAGAAGTGAGCTAGTTACTACTGAGCGCCTGTGTGCCAGCCTGCACCCGCCCCCGCCCCACCTCCGACCAGCTGATGACCCCCACAGGTACCTCTGAGGCCGGGAAAGAACACCCGGACTAAAGAGGCTACTGGGTTTGGGTTCAAGTTCTGGCTCCACCCCCTCTGGTATCTTCCCCTCCTCCACCATTCCACACTGTCCTCCCCTCCAAACCCTCCCTCCTGCCCATGACCGGGATGTCTATGACCCAGTACTGGCCTGAGGCAGGCCTGTGGTGGTCCCCGTACCTCTAGATGCTCCTGGCTGGACCAGGACACGAGCTCTGCCCTGCGGGACCCGGGGCCTAGCTCCACGGAGCGCACCCTCTCAGCAAACTTGAGGGAATAGAGCGTCTCACTGGTGTTCTTCTCCACGGGGGACACCTAGGGGACACGAGAGCTCACTCCCCACCCAGCTGGCCAGCTGCCCTCGCAGAACTGGAAGGAGCACCAAAGGGAGCCCACAACCAGGGGACTCTAGAAGGCTCCCTAGACAAGACTGAGAGGGAGGGCAGGAGGACAACCAAGGTGGCAGAAACGGAGGAACTTGCCAGGCACACGGTGCACGTGGCCAGGTCTGTGGGGAGGCTGCGGGGGACGGGAGCCACGTGTCACTGACTTCGGAGCCGCTGATGACAGGAGGCTCTTCCCTGCACAGCCTGGGAGGGTACCTGGGCCGCAGGGGAAGGTGGGGGGGGTCCCTGTTCTTGGAGCTGGTTAAGCCCCTACACGCTAATGGTCACGCCATCCGACCCGCCTGGGGCCCTCACCTGCACCACCATGAGGGTCTTGCTGTCCCCGCTGAGCGAGTCCTGCAGCAGGTAGGTGAGCTTGGAGTTGCGGAAGGGCACGTGGCCCTGGCGGGAACGCAGGGCAGCAATGACGTCCCCCAGGGCCGACAGTGACTTGTTGATGTGCTGTGCCTCCCGCAGGCGGCTGCCCTCAGCCCCCGACTTGCCCACGCGCTCTGAGCCGGCCAAGTCCACCAGGTTCAGCTTCCCTGCGGGGAGGGTGCTGGGCAGGTCAAGGCTGCCCCGGGAAAGGCCGGGGGGTGGGGCGGGGGGGACGGGGGTGGCTCAGGCCAGGTGGCTGGGGCCCTCACTCACCCGTGGTGCGGAGACCGGTGCTGCCGTCCACGCCGTGCACCGTCACAATGAGCAGGGCATGCGAGCGCGAGCTGTGCTCGTTCAGGTTGGTGAACTCCGTGGTGCGGTTGGTGTGGCCGAACTCGAACACCTGGGGCCCGGGGAGGGCAGAGTGAGGCACGGGGTTTGGAGTGGGGTCTTCAGGATCAACCGTCCTCGAGTACCCCTGTGAGGGGGCGGCACCCTTTGCCTCGTCCAGGGGAGGAAACAGGCTCAGAGAGGCCTGGGGACCTGGCAGAACCTGCATCCGACCCCCATTCTGTCCTCCGGGGCAGCTCTGCTGTGGGCAGGGTCTCCCCAGCCTTTCCCCACCCCCGGCCCCCGCAGCCCCACACCTTGTTGATGTCCTCCACGCTCTGCACCTGGAACTCCGTCAGCCCTGGCACGTACAGCTGCCCGCTGCCGTCAGGACACAGGCGGATCTCCAGTTTCTCCTGGGGCTCCTGCCCCAGCAGGTCCCTGAGAGCAGGAAGGACGGTCACTCCCTCCTCGCAGTCTGCCCTCTGCTTGCACTGCACCCACCCCCAGCCTGGAACGTTCCCCCAGCCATCACACTTCTGGAAGCCTTCCTGGACCATGGGGTCTGCGCTCAGTCTGCTGAAGGGCAGAGATGGAACGTTCCCCCAAAGTCCTGGGGTGCTGCTACTCCTGCCCCCACAATGCACTGAGCCCCTGTGGGCAGGTCCTCCCAAGACCCCACTCTCACTCTTCACCACCTGGTGCAGCCTGCAGGTAGGGTACCCCAGGTGGGCTCAGACAGCCCTCCTCCTCCTGCCTGCTAGCGCGGGAGAGGGGCCTGGGACCAGTGAATCCCCTGGGCTGAGTCAGGACATACATTCAGCTCCCACCTAAGGGCTCCCACCTGAGGGGCTCCCACTCGAGGGCCTTCTGCCTGAGGGCTCCTCACCTGAGGACCTCGTTGTAGATCTCGGCCGCGCTGACGGTGATGGTGTACTCCCAGTCAGACGCCTTCTCCTGCACCTCGGAGAAGAGCAGCTGCAGGGCCCGCTGGTTGATGCCTGGGTTCTCGAGGGTCCCCTGCAGGCAAAATCAAGGCCCCGGTGAGCCAGGCCTCCCCCCACCACGTGGGCTGGCCCGTGCAGATGCTCACATGGTATCTGTGGTCCCCAACCTGCTCTGGCTACCCCTCACAGGCCAGCCTCCCTGACTGAAGCTCCCCACCTGCATGCCGGTCTGCCCCCAAAAACGCCCTCCACCAGCTACAAGCAACTTCACCTCCTTGGGCCTCAGTTTCCCCACCTTTAAAACGGCCCCACCCTGCCAGGATTGGGCCTGCACACAGGGGCTGCTGATGGATACCTGGCCCTGGTGGGCCACCTGGGAGGGGGCACCGGGAATGTATGATTGTATGACACGTATGAATGTACGACAATGAGGGGCTTATTGTCAGGTAGGCCATGAGCCAGGCTCTGTGGGTGATGCAGGGGAGGCACAGGCAGAGCTGGCAAGTGAACTGGGGCCGGATGGGCTGGCTGGCCTTTCTAGAAAGAAATCTGGAGTCCTCACCTGGGCCTCCCTTATCATGGCACCTCCCACCCTCACTTCACTTCTGCCACCGGGGCCTCCTTGCCGGGCCTCAGTATCCTCCCCAGCACGCTCCAGACTCGTGGTCCCAGCCCTGCTGTTCCCTCTGCCCGGAGTGCTCTTCCCCATTCTCCTCTCCGTGACTGGCTTAGGTGCACCAAAGTCACCTCCTCAGGGAGGCTTCCTCTCCCTCCAAATGCCCGATCCCTCCCTCACTGTTGGTTCCTCATACCTGGCCGAAGTTTCCTCCCTAGCACCTGACAGGACACATCCTGATTTGCCGTGTGCACTGCTGTCTCCCCACTGGTGGGCTGGCTCCGTGGGGTCAGGCACCCTGGCCACGGCTGTGCCCCAGGCACGGTGCCTAATGCACAGTGGGGCTCAGCAGGGATGGGTTGGAGGATGGAGGCCCCTGGTGGTCAACTCTAAGCACCCAAGACGGAGCTGGGAGCCTAGAAGGTGCTGCACACACCCCTTGCCCTTCACCTCCCCATCTCGCTTGGCCTGCCCCCTACTAACCGGTCTTGCCAATCCCAGAACCGAGGGAAAAGAAGGTCCAGATTGGGGGAGAAAGGACCACCATGACAGCCTTCCCAAAGGTGCCTAACAGCCTGGGCCAGCAGGGCCCTCTCGCGCCCATTGTTGGGACAACAGGAGACCAGCACCCTCCCCTACCTGGAGAATCCCACAATACCCCCCTTAAGAGCCAGGGAAATGGCTCCATTCTTATCTACAGTCAAGTTTCTTCCTCCTCTCAACGCCCCCACTCCCAGCCACATCCCATAGAGGGGGGCATGGCACAGGCAGGGAGATGAGGCCCTGGGAGCTGCAGCTAAGAGCTGGGCACCCAGGACTTCCCTGGTGGCGCAGTGGCTAAGACTCCACGCTCCCAGTGCAGGGGGCCCGGGTTCGATCCCTGGTCAGGGAAATAGATCCCACACGCACATCACAACTTTTTCACACGCCACAATTAAGGAGCTGGCGAGCCGCAACTAAGGAGCACACGTGCCACGACTAAGGAGCCCACCTGCTGCAACTAAGACCTGACAGGACCAAATAAATAAATAAATATTAAAAAAAGAGCTAGGCGCCCCACAAGAAGTCTGGCCAGTCTCTTCACTGGCCAGTCTCTCCCACTGCCCAGGTATCTCCTTGAGGGCCAAGATACCCCCCCTCATTCATCCTGACACTCCCAGGGCCCAGCATGGCAGCCCTACAACAGGAGCCCAATAAATGTGTGTGGGTGAAATGAAAGCCAATCCTGAGAGACGTCACAGCAATCTTCCCTGGACTCTGGGCCCAGGCCGAGACCCGTCTGAGGCCAGAGGTTGTTGTCAGCACACCCTCCCCTCCCCCATACCTACCGGGACCATGCAGGTGTGCTTGGGCAAGGCGCCCCCTCCGCAGGCCTGGTGCCTCGGGGCTAACATGGATAACTATGGGCTCTGCTCCAAGGTGGTTATGAAGACCAAGTGAGGCAAAACACACCCCACGCAGAACCTCGAGACCAATGAGGGGAGCCCCCATCAATGGCAGCAAGGGGTTGGTCTTCACTCTGGATCCCTGCCCCATCCAGCAGGTACCCACCTCCATCGTGTATGTCTTGCCAGCACCCGTCTGGCCATAGGCGAAGATGCAGACGTTGAAGCCGTCGATGCAGGAGGTGATCAGGGCCTGCACCTCCTGGAACACCTGCAGAGGGGACGTGGGATGGAAGGTGAAGGGCTGCCAAGGCTGCTGGGTCCAGGGGCCCCCACCAGCCACCTCCCCCTGACTGCTCCCCTCTCCTAATACGGCACCTGTTATCGTGGGCAACCAGCTCACTGTGGAGGAATCTGTGACTAATAAGTCACTTACACTAGGCGTTAGTGGACAACCTCATTGCCGAAAGACTGAAGGGAAGTCAGGGCAGTAATTACTGCCCACCAGCACCTGAGGAAGGGGCCGCCCAGCCCAGGAACTCAGGAGCCCGCCCCCAGCTTATCCCCCTCTCAAGGTGGGTCAGCAAACGAAGGCCGAGAAAGCATGTGCCTGGCACCTCCACGGGCCGGCTGGCCTGCCTGCCTGCCAGCCAGCAACAAAGGACGGGGGCAAAGATAAAGCCCAGCATGGGGACCGGAGGGCACAGGCAAAACAGGCCTCGCAGGTTGGCCCTGGCAGAGAAGGGGGAAGAGTGGATGCTGAGAACATGTGGCTCGCACAGGCTGAGGGCTCCTCCCTGAGGCCTGGGCGGCAGCATGGGAGTCCCTAGGGAGACCCATGGGACTGATAGAGGAGGTGCTCCTGGCTGGAGGGGCCTGCCTCCATGCAAGCCGGGGTCCTGTGGATGGGCGGGGCCCCATGACTGGGAGGGGCTGTGAGAGTGCACGTGGCTGAGTATGGGAGAGGAACCATGTGAGTGGGAGAGGCCATGTGAGTGGGTGTGGCTGTGAGGGTAGGAGGGGTCACATGGGTGGGATGAGCCTGAGAGTGGGTGTGGCTGTGAGGATGGGTGGGGCCACGTGGGTGCCCTAGGCTATGTATGGATCTGCCCTTCTTAGCAGAGGCTTCCAAAGCTCCCAGTTTACCTTCCCACCCTCTTCTCTCCTGCAGAGGTGAAAAGAGAGGGACCGTGGGGCACTGGGCTTCTCCATCCTGTCTGCCCTCCCTTATACTTATTTTTGTCCAGCTCCCAACATCTCTCCCTCTACAGGTGAGGTGAGTCTGTCTCCCCCTCCCTCCACTGTTCTCTGTCCCTCTCCCCGAAGGGCCACACTCACGTCCTGCTGTGAGGCTTTCGGGGAGAAGACTTTGTCCAGCTCAAAGGAGACGGGCTTTCCTTTGTGCAGCAAGTGAATGATGGAGTCGTCGTCGGGATCAAAGGTCACAGCATTGGTCGCCTCAGGTCCTTCCCCATCCTCTTTGGTGACTGGCCGGACACGGGCGATCACCCGGATGTTCCCTGGATTGGGTGGCGGAAGAGAGAAGGGTACAGACCAGGTCAAGACCAGACTGCCTCCACGCTGGTGTCCGTTGGCATCTGGAGCAGGCTAGTGGCTCAAGAGCCCCCTGCCTTCTAAGTAAGGCCCCCAAGGGCAAGGTGGCCCACAAAGATTGGATCAGTCACTCACGCTATAGTATGAATTAACGTATCAATACATTTTCTTGCTGAGCAAACCAGTTGACAGTAGGAGCCTCACCTTGGGGACATGGAGGAAAGGGCAGTGGTGGGGCTCAGACACTGCACCCAGTTTGGGTGGGATACCAAAATGGACAACTCTTTATACACCTGGACTTCAGTTTCCTCACGTACACAATGAGGGGCTTGGATCCCAGCAAGCCAAGGGGCTTATTCTATCACTCTAGAAGGGCACAGTGAATGCCAGGACAGGGCTTGGGTATCAGATGGGCAGAAAGGACCAGGCAGGAGATGGGCACAGGCAACAGGGCAGCCCCAGGGGTGTCTGACGCACAGATCTGATCATGCCACCCCCTTGCTTCAAGCCTTTGGGTGGGATCCCAGAGTTCCTGGAATGAAGAGAAAACTCCCCATCACATCTAGCACGGCCCCACCTTCCCTTCACCTGTCCACTCCACCTCATAATCCAGGTCTCAGCCCTGGTTTTATCTCCTACGGGAAGCCCCCTCGACACCCTCAACTGTCAGATACCCAGGAGCTCTCAGAGCCCTTCCCCAGCCTGGGTAAAGGGGTAGTGATGGGGTTTTCTGAGTGATTAATGATCACTGTCTGCTCGCCCCCTGCTGAAGTAACCACCATGAAGGCAGGGACAGGTTCTGTGGCGCCCAAAGCCACATCCTCATTGTCTGGAACGGCACTTGGCACAGAGCAGGTGCTCCCTAGACCTTTGTGCCGTGAATGGGTGGTGTCTCAAGCTTGACCAGGCCCTAGATCAGAATAAGTGGCATTCTAGCCACCCACCACCCGATGCTTCAATACCCTACCCCTCCGCCACCTGGTAGCCTGCCACAGGCATTGGGCAAAGGTTTCAGAGTTGAACAGATCCAAGGTGGACCATTCACTAGCCATGCAGTTTTGAGCAAATTCCCTGTGACGTCTCTGTGCCTCGGTTTCCTTATCTACAAAGAGGGAATTACAATAGCTCCTCGATGACAGGGCACAGCTCCAGGGAGTGGTGCTGGGGGCCATGGGGAAGGACAGGCTCACTTCCGAGGCAGGTCGGGGCTCCCTCCGCTAGGCACCCCCCAGCCCGCCCAGCGGTCACCTTTCAGCCGCACGAGCTCATTGTGGCACTTCTTGCGCAGCTGCAGCTCCCGGCGGTACTTGCGCAGCAGCTCCTGGTTGTTGCTGTTGACCTCGTCGATGGCCTGGCCGATCTAGTGGGGGGTGCGCAGCACCATCAGGGGCCCAGCTCCACCCGCCTTGCTTGCCCGGCTGCTTGCCCTCTCCCCCTCCCCCCAACAGTCTGCTCACTGCCTCCTGCCCTGGACTAAGTACCTGACATGGGCTGTCACACGTCACATCTTCCCAATAACCCCTCTGGGTAGGTACTGCGAACAGGCCCATTTTACAGAGGAAGAAACTGAGCCCTAGAGAGGCTAAGCCAATCTCAAGGTTGCCCTGCAGATGAGTAAAGAGCGGGGACTCAGCAATCACTCCACAGCACCAGCACTTGACTACATGATTCAGCTGGACCCAAATCCCAGCTCTACCCTGAGGACCTGGGGGACCAGAAGCAACTGGCTCAATGTATTCAAGCCTCAATCTTCTCATCTGTAAAATGGGGATAACAACATCTAACTCGTGGACTTGTAGGAGCTGGTAGGTAAAGATCTCCAAGTTACATTTCATAAGGAAAAGAAACAAGATGCAAGCCACACATACACCTGCTCCCCTTTATTGGGTGAAAGGGAAGTGCTTGTCCATGTACATATATGTCAACAGTTTTCAGCATGCTCAGAACACCCTTTGGGGGAAATGCTGGGAGACAGGCCTCCTTTGGGGAGCAGGCTGGGTGGCAGAGAGAAGCCTTTCCTTTTCATCTGAATGCCCTTCTGGGAGGTGGGTACTTTCAACGTGTCCATGTATTATTGACATAATTTTTTAAAGGAGAACTATTTTTGATTCCCAAAATACATGTCTCTCTACCCTGCAGAGCTGTCATACAGATTCAAGGAGCCGACGGCTATAAAAGGCTCAGCACGTAGGAGGCACTTAAGAGACATTGGCTATTCTCATACTGCACAAGTACAGCTTAAAAAATTAAATTAAACCTAACAGATCTAAGGATACGTGTAGCATGTCTGAGATATAAAGATATGCATAGCACATATGAGATATAAAGATATATGTGACATGTTTGGTTTACACCCAAATACCTGCTCTTGACCAGACTGTTTTTCAAATGGTCTGGGGACAGCAGTGCGTGTGTGGGACAGGAGCTGCCATCTGGCGGCTTTGAGTTTGGGAAGGGCGCGCTAGGTGGCTGCTGCATCTGCCCAGGGGCTCCAAGGCCTCTCCCAGCCCCGCCCCGCCATGGCCTGCACTCACCTCGGCCTTGACACTCTTGAGAGCCTCCTGCAGCAGCAGCGGGAAGCCGCGCACCTGACGCTTGAGCCCATTGTAGTCGTTGGTCAGGGTCCGAAGTGCTGGCTGCAGCGTCAGCAGGTTGGTCCGGACACCTATGGAGACACAAGGGGTGAGAGGCAGACGGGGTGAAGGGCTGTGGCGTGGGGCAGGCTAGAGCCCAGCTGCACGGCTCACCTGCCAGGTTCTCGTGCACAGCCTTCATCTCCACCTGGGCTCTGGCAAAGGCCTCCTCGATGGCCCGGTTCTTGTCCTCCTCCAGGGACTGCATCTCCTCCAGCATCTGCCCGTGTGCCCGCTCCAGCTCCGACTCGTACATGGTGATCTGCAGCCAGGGCCAGAAGCTTAGTGCCGTGTGCCATGCAGAGAAAGAAGCCCACCCGTCACGCCTTGCACACGTGAACACACACACAGGTGGGGTAGGGTGGCCGTCTCTCTCCCTGAAAGGGCTGGGAGCTCCGTGCAGCAACTTCCCGGCATCAGCCCAGCACCAACCTGGGTCCCGGCACATAACACAGGTCACAAGCCACAGGTCCCAGGAGAGCAGGGGAAAGCATTTGTTATGATACCGACTAGAGCACCCTTCCAAGAGCCTGTGTGCCGGGCCCTGAGCGAATCTTGTGAATAGGTCAAGCCCCACTGGGAGGTGCATTCTGTGATCAGATCATTTTACAGATGAGGAAACAGAAACCTGCCCTTGGTCACACGGCCAGTGGGGAGAGGAGGGACTGAAACCCAGGTCTGTCGAACCCCAAGTGCTCAGCCGCTGCACTGTGCCAAAGGCCGGTCTCTGGCGTTGGGGCCCGGCGTGCACATGCTGCCCCGATAGACGTGCGCACCTGCGCCCGGAGCTGTGCAGTCAGCTGATGCGAGCTCTGCAGCTGCTGCTCCATCTCCTTCAGCACCTGCCTCTGCATGGCCACCTGCTCCTGCAGGTGCTGGTTCCGGGCCTGGGACTCACTGAGGGCCTGCTTGGTCTTGGACGACTCCACCTCCACCGTCTTCATGACATACTGTGAGGGGAGGGAGGGGTGGGTGCATGGAGGTGCGTGGGTGCCTTGACCTTACCCTGGGACCCTGGGGGGCCCCTCAGGAACATGTCACCAGCGGCCTGCAGAATAAACTAGAGGAGCCCCGAGGTCTGGGCTTTCCAGAAAGCTGCAAGGGCCTCCTGGAATCTTCTCATCTTAATGAGCCCACTAGGAGCCCAGCTGTGGCCCACGACTGGGCCCAGAACAGACAAGAAGGGCAAAGACGAGGGCAGAATCTAGCGATGCATCACGTCCATGCCCGGCACACAGCGGGCACCTCAAGCTCAGTTGCTGGACGCCTACGTGGCCCGGTCCTGGACGGCAAGAAGGGGAAGGGGCCAGGTGACAGCGGATCTGGAAGGATTCCTTCAACCCCCCGCACCTACTTATTCACCAAGACAAGCCCCTCCTACGTCCAGCCCATCCCGGGCTCCAGGGACCAGAGTTGAGGCATGGCCCAGGTGCGCGCGGGGCACCGCAAGCGGTGCGGCCGCCTGGCCCCAGGCTCACCTTGACGGGCGGCGACTGGGCCCGCAGGCTGGCGATGGTCTCGTGGCTGTCACGCAGGCGCCGGCTGAGCCGCTCCTCCTCCTGCGCCTTCTCGGCCAGGCAGTCCTTGAGCCGCAGCTCCACCTCGGCCAGCCGGTCGGTCTTCTGCTGCACCTCCAGGTTCAGCTCTGACAGCAAGCCTTTGTTCTCCGCCACCTCCAGCTGTAGCTGGGACAGCTTGTCGCGGAGCTGGGCGCTCTCCTGCAGACAGACGGCCGCGGGGGCCGGGACAGGTGTGAGACCAGTGGGCAGGATTCAGCATGAGGAAGTGGGGTGACCGTTGGGAATCGAGCGCCCCGGGACCGCCCTGGTCCTGGGCCCACCTGGCTGTGCTCGCAGCCTGTGCAGGGCACCGCAGGCTTGGCCCGCATATCCTGCAGCTCGGCCTCGCAGCGCCGCATCTCCTGCCTCAGTCGCTCATTCTCCACTATCAGCAGGTCCCGGTGCTTCTCCAAGTCGGTGCCTCCCTGCAGAGAGCCAGAGCCGGGGGTTGGGGGCGCACGTGGTGAGGGCAGATCAGGGGGAAGGACGGAGCGGGGAGGCAGAGACAGTGCAGGGGCAGGGGAGAGGGGAAAGGTGGGGAGACAGAGAGAAGGAGAAAAGAGAAAGAAAGGCCAGTGATGGATGGAGAGAAGAGAGGAGGGGCTCCAGAGACGATAAAGACAAAGGCAGAGGAGAGGAAGAGATGCAGGGGAGTGGTGAGACAGGAACTGCTCCCGGCTGCACCCCACCCCTTTCATTCCATTTTCCTGAGTGTGAAAGTTACAAGGAAAGTCATATTTATACACAGAGTTCACACTCCTACTTTACATCAGCAAATAAGAATTAACCTCCCTCCTGTTACGGGTCACACCACCTCGTGGGCACAGTGAGTGGTGATAAGTACATGGGGAGCATCACCCCCCCCCCCAGCCCCGCGCCGTTAGGATGGCGTGGTCGGGCTCACCAGCTCCGATCGAAGGCGGCTCACTTCCTGGGCCTGGCTTATGAGCTTCTGCTTCAGGTGTTCCACCTGCCAGCACAAAGCCGGGGCACGCTGAGCCTGGATTCTCTCCTCCAGCCCACACCCAGGCCTCTCGCCCAAACCCAGAGCCCCAGTTCTCCCTGTGTTCAAGCATCAGGCCACCCCTGGGACTCTAGGTGCAAAGCACCTGGCCTGGTCCTGACAGCTCTCAGCACCCTCTCCCGTCACAGGACCAGCCAGTCTGGGCTTACAGGAGAGTCCGGGGAGCAAGTGCAGCCAAGGTGACCCCTGTGCCAGCCTGGGCCCACGCCAGGGACAGCTCGCCGGGTGACTCAGGAGGCTGACTCTCAGGATGCCTGCCTTTGCACAGGCCCTGACCCAGGCCTGAACCTATTTCTGTATTTGTCATTTAACATTCTTTATTCTTTAAAGGGCCTCCAAAGTGTATAAACTCCAGGCACTACAAAACCTGCATCGGTCCTTGACCAGCCCCCTAGAATTTTCTACTTTGAGGGGTTCCTGGTGAGTCTGTCTGTGGAGATGGGCCTGCCAGTGACCAGGGCACATCTGGGACCTGCCTCCACCCCAGCTCCCAGTCTGCCTTGCAGGAGAGCTATGGCCAGTGGAGGCTGTTAGAAAGAGAAGGGGTGTGCACCCCATCAGGAGGCAAGGGTGACCTGGTTCAACCAGAGCCCAGGGAGGGGAAACCAGCCCCGAGAAAGAGCAGGGCCCCAGGATGGCTGCCTGCCCTCCCCGCAGGCCTAGACCCTGGTTCCACATCAGCCCACCTCCAGGAAACTCTCCCCCCGGGAAATAACCCAAAATGCAGACAAAGACTTTGGCACCAGTGTTCATCAGAGCCTGTTTGAGCTTTTTCTTGCAGAACGTTCTGTGTTGATCGCACGGAACCTTGGAAAAGGTACAGTGAGAGTCAGACTCCCTCTCTGGGGGATAAGGAGGTGTGGTTTGCACAAGCTTTGGGCTCTTGTTACTAAACATAAGGAGACAAAGCCCACCGCCTACAGGGGCCACCAGCCAAGTAAGGCAGGTGAGGGGCAGTGCAGGACTAGATGCCCAAGATCCACCTGAAGGAGACAGAGGACTGCAACTGGGGGGGGGGGGGGGGGGGGACACAGGCCCAGTGTCATCAAACTTCTGACCTTTCAAGAGAGGCCAGACATTGGGATTTTGGGTGTGTGTGTGTAAAATCTCCCCACTACATATGGCTGAGATGTCATCAACAGTCTGTGTGCAGCACGAGCTCAGAGCCAACCGTCTCCTGGCGCTGGAGAAGGCGGCTGGACCACAAGTCAGCCTCTGCTTTTCTGAGCAAGTTGGGGGAGGGCCACGGGCGCGACCCCACCTCCAAGGAGAAGGCCTGTGACACCAGCGCTGCTCACTCGTAGCTGGGGAGGCAGATTCCAAGAACACAAGACCCAGAGAGGGGTTGGGAGACACAACCTGGCTGCCCAAGGCCTCCCGGTGGACAAGCAGGTGACTTAAGGGCTGCACCTGAGAAGGTCACCTCTGTCACCTGCTCCATCAGCACATTCCTTCCTAGCAATGTGCTGGGCATGGACCAGGCCAGGCAGCAAAGCCCGTGCCATTTCTCTGCCCGCTCCAATACCCCCTTCTGCTAAAAGCCTGGTACACGGAGCCTCAGTTCCTTCGCCCTGGAGGGGAGTGAGGGACAGTTTGAATAAGGCAGCCTTTCGTTCCTTAGTCATGAAATTGGGAATAACCTCAATGCCCAGCATTAGGGGAATGGTTGGGTGGACTGCAGTATCTGTACTCATACACTACTGTGTAGTCGTTACACTCGTGTTTATCAGGAGTTTTAAATGATGTGGGGAAAAGCTCCTCAACATATTAAGTCAAAGAAAAATCCAAAAACAAAATCGCATATGCAATACAAAAACTAGAGGGCTCTGGACTACGGAATGATGTTTGACAAATTCTTTTCGATTTGCAGTAAGTTTTAAGTCTCAAAGAATATATATTCCTCTTGCACTCCTGAAATAGGTGGAGTCTACCTCCTTTTGAAAGGCTGGGGTCCCCTTCCTGCCCCCCCTCCCTCAGAAATCACCCCAGGAGATCCACTTGCACGGAGCTGGTGCCCCAGGCAGGCTGCTTCCTTGGCACCAGCCTGGGTGGGCTCGGACCTTGCTTGTCCCCAACGCCGCTGGCGCTCAGACCCGATGCAGTGAAAGTGGGGTTTCCCAGTGTTTCCCTGGGAGTCAGGATGCCTGCCTGACACCTGCCTGCAGCCCAGTTACTGTTCTCTCCTTACATCACAGTCGGAACGCTGGGCGCTCCTGGCCTCTGTCTGGAATCTCTGAGGGGCGCCCCAGAAGGAGGCGGCTGCCCCACGAGGCAGGCTGGGGGCGGGGTGGAGGGATGAGGAAAAGGCTGTAAAAGACCCCTTTTGTCAGAAATGTCAGGCACTCGTCATCTCCCGGCTAGTCTCGGGCAGCGGAGGAGCACGGCCCACTGACACCACAGGGTGTCCGGTCAAGCACAAACCACCCCGTGGTGCGCGGTGCCTGCGCCCTGCTAGCCGGCTCCACTGGGGGCTGAGAACTAAGGAGGCGTGCTGCCCAGGAGCGGGACCCTTGCCCTCCACCCCCGGCTGGTCAGCTTCGGGAGGGCCTGCAGGGAAGACAGCAGACTTCTCCCAGCCTGGGAGGGAGAACAGGCGAGTCTCTCAGGGTCAGGGAAAACAGTGAGCACAGGAGACGGAGACAAAACCAAGTACGGGAGGAGGGCTCGGAGCAGAGACGGGGAGCTGAGGGTGAACCTGACCAGAGAGCGGGGCCTTCTGCGGAGGGGGCCCCTGCAGGCACGCCCTTCACCCACCCAGTACAGCTCTGAGTCAGCGATGGTGCCTGCATCAGTACGCAAGGGGTCGGCGGGGGGGGGGGGGGGGGGGGACCTCCTCCATCAGCTCTTCGGGAGGTGCCCAGCACACCCGGAGACACTCAGTGAGCACGGAAGTGACGGCGAGGGGGCAGCGCACTCACTCCTGAGTGCAAAGAGCCAGGCCAGAGGGGCAGGCAGGCTCCTGACCGGCTGCTGTGGTGGCCCCCCGGACAGCACAAGGTCAACCCCAGGGCTGAGAAGGGACCAGGCTGGGTTTGTGCCACAGCCCTCCCTGGGCTCAGGCTCCTAGTCATGCTGAGAAACTGAGCCACAAGCCTGGTGCAGGGGGGCCTTGAGGGAGAGGGAGCTGGTGCCTGTCTGCTGACCGACGCAAACCCATAGTTCCATCTCCCAGCAGAAGCGGGCTCAGCGGAGGGTGCGGCTGCCCTGTGCCAGGCTGTGTTTCCCCAGCTGTCTGCTCCTCTCGACACAGACAACCTGCTGACTAGCCCCCAGCCTCCCACCAAGCCTGGCCCTCCATCATCGGCTGTCTTCTGAGGAACGGAGGGCTCTCCCAGTGGCAAGACCATTGCTGAGCTGGCAAGACGAGAGGGCCTGGGATCCAGACGGCCCCAAGGAAACGCAGCCCAGAGGCCTGAGGGGCAGCCCCGGGAAGCACCCCATCCTGTCCCCAACACACTCCCCCTCCCGGGAGACCTGACTCCTGGTTACCTATGTACATGACCACTGACCAGGCCCGACTGGCTACATCCATCCCACCCTGCCTCCACTGCCGAGTTTTCACATTTGAGTCCTTCTGCCACCAAGGGGCTTTGGGAACATGGACTCTCAGGCCAGACTGCTCGGGTTTCTAATACAGACATCACCCTACCTTGCCAGACAACGTTGGACATGTCTCAACTCCACCGTGCCTCTCCATTTCCTTAGCAGTAGAATGAGGCTACCTCACTGAGGAGGTCTGGAGGATTAAGTGAGATTACATGAGTAACATATATAAAGTGCTTAGGACAGGGCCCAGCACGTAATAAGTCTATTACTAGAATGAAAGTCCGCGAAGACAGGGATATTTGTTGTATCAGTGCTGTACCCCCAGTGCCTAGAACGGTACCTAGCATATAGTAGGCGCTCAGTAAACACATGTAGAAAGAGTGCTGAATGCATGAGGGGCCAGGAGAAGCAGGGTCTGTGAGAGAGCGGTCAGGCAGGGCACGGGGGAGCAGAGGTGGTGGAGGCTGGGGTGTGCTGAAGGATACTCACTTCTGCCAAAGGCAGGAGCTGCTAATGGGCTCCAGGCAGTGCATGCCATGTGGGAATGTCAGTCCAGAGGTGCCACAACTTCCAGTATTTTATGACAAAAAAAAAGGAAGTTGAGATTTTTATATGAACTTAACTAAGATTTAAATGGTGGCAACTAATTTGATCATACAATCAGGAGAGTTGGAACTAATAAATTCAGCAAAGTTGCAGGATATAACACATAAAAATCAGTTGCGTTTCTATGCACTAACGCTGAACAGTCCGAAAAGGAAATTAAGACAGTAATTCCGCTTAAAATAGCATCAGAAAGAATAAAACATGTAGGAATAAACTTAACCAAGGAGACAAAAGACTTGTACACTGAAAATTACAAAATGTTGCTGTAAGAAATTAAAGATGATACCAGTAAATGGAAACACAGCCTGCATTCATAGTCTGGAAACAGTATTGTTAAGATGTCAATACTGCCCAAAGCAATCTACAGATTCAATCCAATCTCTATCTAAATCCCAATGCCATTTTTTGCAGAAATATTAGCATCCATCCTAAAATTCATATGAAATCTCAAAAGCCAAATAGCCAAAACAATCTTGAAAAAGAAGAACAAAGTTGTAGGACTCGCACTTCCTGATATCAAAACTTACTACAAAGCTACAGTAATCAAAACAGTGTGGTACTGGCATAAAGACAGACATATGGACCAATGGAATAGGAGAGAGAGCCCAGTTATAAACCCTCATGTATATGGTCAACTGATTTTTGACAATGGTGCCAAGATTTTCAATGAGGAAAGGACAGTCTTTTCAACAAATGGTGCTGGGAAAATTGGATATCCACATGCAAAAGAATGGATCAAAATGCATCAAAGACTGAAACATATAAGCTAAAACTATAAACCTCTTAGAAGAAAA